CATAACACATGAAACATTGCTAGACTAGTCAATCTGGACGGAAACTAGTTATCTTACAGCACTAGATACTGAACTGATGCTTTTGGCTTCCAGTGCGCAAGTACTTGTAATCATTACACCCAATTACTTTCTGTCAATCTGGCTTTGGATTCAATTTATTTTGTATAGCCCCAAATCAAAAATTTGCCTCACAGGGCTTTAAATCTGTACACATTCAACAGTCTCTGTCCTGGGACAGAGAAAATGCGACACATGTGAAGTAAGACGGTACAGGCTGATGTTTCCACCACAAGGTGTCAGCATCAGTTCATCATCAGTTTACTGAACAACAGGTTTCAGCTACTTAAGTTAAAAACTGGATCATAGTATTGTTTGTGTCTTAACTAAATACACAGCTTATGGTAAATATTATATTATTAACAGATCTTAATAGAGACAGTGACTCTTGTTTGAGCTGATCATCCTTCTCAGGGCTGCTGTCATATCACGATTTACTTGTATTAGCTCTAAGTACTTTCTCTTGTTTGTTTTAGTCGACTCAGGTGCATGACTGTTGCAAACCCCACCCGGGTTTGCAACAGTCAGGGATCAAAGGAAAGTAGGTGAGGCTTAATACTGTGATTGACTTCCGAACACTTTTGATTTTGTTTCACTCCACTCAACGGATACAGCAACAGCAACTGTAAACACGTAATCGCATGCTTCTTTCTTTAAGGTGTTTTATTAAGGGATTGAAAATACATCGTGTGTAAAGCAGAATACCTGCTTCCTCAAAGCAGAATACCTGCTTTACATATTAATGTCAAAGGCTTATTCTGCTCATGAAGGACTTCTCTGTGGGCTATTGTTGTGTTCATGTTTAAAGTGAATCAGTCTTAAATTACAAACATGTTGAAACAGGAAATAGATCAGTTTGAGTATTTGTGTTGAAACACCTTTCGGGCTTCATGGAGCAAACCACAGTTTCTGTTCTCTCTCATATGAAAACAACCGCTGAACAAAAGAACAGTTCAGATATTTGAGGAAAAGATTCCACCAGAGGCAATGCATAAATCTATATTCAACACACTGCTGACTTCTCACATAAGAGAGAGAAGTGTCGGCATAAATGTGTTTGTCTTATGATGTAAAAGATGCATTACTTCTTCTGCTTACATAGCAATGAACAAAACAGTTTAGCTTGAAACAAGACTGTAAAACATAAACGGTTCTAATTACAGACATATTATACACCATAACTAGTACCTACCCAAGTACCTACCCAAGTCCTTCATGTACGCTCTGTTGCATCAAAGTAGGAGATTAAACCATTCAAACTAAAGCACATATCACAAAAAACTAACAGATACACACGTATAACAATAATGAATCGTTTGTAAATGTTTCTAGAAACTGGTGCTTCCCTCCGTGGTGTTAAAGTGTCAAATAATTTGAGCTCACCCCACCACTGTGAGGGAGTTGGCAATACAGCAGATCTCCAGTACAGAGCAATGCATTGCTGACAATGGCAACAGATCAGCACATATTCTCTCATGTGGACTCAGCTGTCTTGTCTGGTAGTACTTAATAAACAAAATTATAGGGATGTATCATAATACCTGCACATGTATTACACATTTCTAAGGACCTTACTTTGAAAACTTGAATCCCTTAAAATTTGAGTCACTGGGCGGATTATGAGTCAATGGGCCCCTTGTCACAGGCCCCACCACCCCTGCTACACAGGAGCAACAAGACTTTTTTTGTGTCTCTTTGTGGATTTTGCATTCATTTGTGTGTCCTTGCGGTTGTTTGTTTGTTAGTTTTGTCCTTTTTCATTGTCATTTTGTAGTTTTTATATTTCTTTGTGCTCATTTTGAGTCTCTTTGTAGTTTTGCCTCTTTTCATAGTGGTTGTGAGTCTCTTCTTCATTGGTAAGTGTCTCTTTAAGTGACATTTTGTAGGTGAAGGCCAGGGGGGGGGCCCTGACACCTTGGGCCTGTGCCCTGTACGCCCATTCAGTAATCCATCCATGCTCGAGTCAAGTCTTGCTCGAGTGACAAACACCTAAAACATTTAGTCATGTGAAAACACAAATAACAGTTTTAAATAGAAAACGTTCGTTTAACACTATTCTGCATGACAGCCTTCAGATACCGGATCCTTTTTTTTCCCCTGAAGACTTGACTGATGTGACTTGACTTTCATTAGCCCCGAAGGACTTGAGACTGAGCTTGGGACTTGCTTATACAAGTTTCAAAACTCAAATTGGGACTTGAACTCAACCATCGAAGGCTTCAAAACAGCATCAAATAATCAAACAAAGCCAGAGTTGAGGTGGAGGGAGAACTCCATTCAATCAGTCCCATTTTGGCTCACCAGAGACATCCGATGATTCATAATCCCGATTGTGGGGTCAGAGGCAATGTTAACAGCAAACACTGCGAGTATCAAAAGACTTGGCAGGATCGTAAAGGGAGTTGTTTGTGGCACGTTGTTGCATGTGAGGGCAGAGATTAAAGGCGAGGTGCAGGAGACGGTACTGGTGAAGGGACACACACACGTCCCTTGGCAACCTGCTATGGGAATAATAATCATTAATGCGGTTGCCAAACACATCCAGTTCAGGGGAAAAAAATCGTTGCTGTTTTACGATGCTGTTTTGTAATAAATGTGGCATTGATCTGCAGAATCATAACGACTGAATCATAACTATCTTTGCTTCGTAAATCAGAGGAGCGTGAGACACCCCCATCTATGTATTTGCTGCACACAAGAGGAGGTTTACAAGGATTATTTCTAACCTTCCTCTTGTCTGCCAGACTTGAGTTGCTGAAACCTTTTGAGAGGAATAATCCTGCGCTGTTCAGCCGAGGTTTTGGCCGTGTAAAAATAGACAATGCAAGTCCATGGAGAATGCCTGTTTTCCCATTCTAGTTAATGCCATCTGCCATCTGTTTGCAGGTATGTGCCCACCCATTGTAGACGTGGGTAGCTTGCCGCCATGTGATCCACTACTGGGTTTAAAAGCTTATGGCCCACAGAGGAGGGCACAGTATACAATTCCCCATTGAGCCCAGTCTGAAGCACACATCGCACTGTCCGGGTAAGTCTGAGTGCTCTTCTTCTGTGTTTTTAATCAGTAAATTGAGACTTGGGTTCAATTCAGCGTCCATCATATCACCTCAGGTTGCCGTTGGTGTAGTGTCACTCCCTATCGTCATTGGACTTACTCGTGCAGGTGCTGCATCCTAAACATGTCCGACACAGAAGATGCCACGAACGAGTGAGTAAATGGATAATTTCTGTTCAATAGAGAGTGACAATAACAAAGTGATGCCAGCACCGGTGGAATGAATTGTAACAGAGTATTTTTGGTGTGCGTTTTTTCTTCTTCTTTTTTTTTTTAGGGGTCAACGTAAGTCAGTTTCTCAGTTCAAGATGAGTCTTTACAGTTTGCATTTGAAGTGTGTTGAAAAGGCTGCGGTTTCAGGCTGCTGCTTGTTCATTCTGACTGGCTGGATGCTACACAGCTGCTTTATGTGGAAAAAAAAAAAGCATGAATATTGTGTCTATGCTGCATGTTTAGCCTCCATATCAGAAACGTCCATGCTCATGTTAAATATACATGTGGCGTACATTGCCTTATAGTTTACGAGGATATTGTTGATATGCACTTTAATACAAACAATATCGATGGAAACTGCTTCTAAATCTAAACTTTAAGAGGCTGCTTGTATTTTTTCTGCAACCTTGTTACCTGTTTTTACACACTTGAGCCTTGCATTTATTGTTGCTTAACACACTGCGTCTGCTAAGCTGCTGGCTGCACCATACAGCATACTGTATTTTTGGTGCCACTGTAGAAGCAGCTGCTGTCCTTGAGCTCTTTGGATTGACCTTTGTCCTCTCAGTCAGTCCTCTCTATCTGAGACTGGAGACTGTTCACTTTGTATAAACATCCCAGTGGATCTGTCCTTCCAATTCAAATGGTGCAACAGGTCGCCATCAGAGAGGAAAAGGGCCGTGCCTCTATTTCTGTCTCCTTTGTGAGGCTGTCCATGTGGGCCACACTGTACAGCCTGGCTGTCCCTGAAACTAAGCGGCACCTGTCCCCCCCTCTATGTGGAGAGGGATCCCTCTTAGAGCTCAATGTAGGTCAGCTTATGTTCTCAATACGGGACCTTGGGGAAGACAGCGACACATGCACAATACCCACTTTCATTTTGTATGCCTGTTAGAGGTCCTCTAAATGCAGGTTGGCTTACCTTCTTTGCAGTGGAAAGAGGTTGAGTTACCGAAAGGGACTCTGACTAAAGGCTCTATGCCACTTTTCCCCCACAGAGGCCCACTGAGGAGAGAAAAGTCGAGAACAAAAAATACAATTATTTCCCTACTTCAGTGATATCCAAATTGTTGAGATGGTTGGAGCAGTGTGGAGGGAGGGGGGTCTGGAGCCAATCCCAGCTAACATTGGTCAGAAGCAGGGTGCACCCTGGGCAGGTCGCCAGACTATCGCAGGGCTGGACAAAACATCACAGATTGAATTGTAAAATAAAAATGTGTAGTATATAACTTTAAAAATGTAAAAATACAATGAAAACATGTGTACAAATGCTTTTATATACAAATATAGCTGTAGGTTTTAAAGGCACTGTCAAAAATACACAAATAATCTTGAAATGAATGCTGTATGAGATATTCAAATTGTTTGCTTGCTAACTATACATGCTTGCTTTGCACAGAAGAGGAGGAGGAAGAGGTAGTAGAGGAGGAGGAAGAGGTAATAGAGGAGGAGGTAGTAGAGGAGGAGGAGGTAGAAGGTAGTATTGCTTATGCTAATATCTGTTTGCATGCCGGCTGTAAATAGATGACTTTATTCTTAACACACTGTTGTCAACCATGTAGTCGAATGACAGTGTTGGTGTACAAAAATAATATATTGTTGCTGTCCAAGGAAAACCATGTTTCTCCAAAAACTGTTCATCGGGTGAGAAACACAACCTTGTTCCCAGCTTCATGACAATGCATTTGAATGCTGAGCTGCACTTCACACTCTAGTTTATGAGGAGATTCTTGTTCTTCACTGGACAGTGATGATGATATACAAGTCTGGGAATATAATGTGATTCTATCTCTCTGTACTACTAATGTACCCGTATACGTATATGCTGACAATTCAGTTAGTGTTTAAATTCCCAATTTGAGTTGGGCAGTTGTTGTATATACAGTTACATTTAACACTTAAATACAAAATCATGTTAAGTATTGCATTTCTCTGTGTCTTCTGTTCTTTGACTTAAGGACACATGACTCTCTGTTAGTCACTGGGTGGGGACTCAGGTGGAGACAACATGTAGTTTATCTGTGATGATAATCTAAAGCCGTGTCCTCTAAACACACCTGCATTCCTCTCTGGATAAGTCCATCAGCACTGACAGGAGATGGTCGGATATGTTGCCTCAGTCACAAAGCATTCGACTGAGGTCATTCCAACTCCAACCATTGTCAACAGCTTCCTTCAACTAGAGACCAGCAGGATTGCAACCTGTGTCAATCAAAAATGACACTTTTTATTTATTTTATCGAAATAAAAATGAAAAAAGAAGAAAAATAATAGCTGAAGTAAAATATTGGGAACCTAATTCTTTGAATTACTGAAGGGATCCTATTAATTTCGTTTAGTCTCTTATTTGTATTATTTTAACTGTATTACATAATGATAGTAAAAAAAGATATTTGTCAGCAGCAGTGGTGGGCCGTCAGGGCCTGCAAGGCCTTCTCTGCTGACCTAAACAGAATCACTTTGTATTTTTCTTAAATACACTACATGTATTATAATTTATATAAATATTTTTCCCATTATCTTATTTTCTCAATGCACAGCTCCTGTCTTCCTCAGTTGCTCTGCTTCCAGTGCAGCTTGTTTTAAGTAGAGCTTTTATCCAATCAGATCTCACCTCTGAGTCTCTGGGTAAGAACAGAGGCCCCAGGCCTGCACACTCTGAAGTGCATTCAGTGCAGTATTAAGTGAATGGGGACGATATTGTTGATTGTCATAGTGTTCAACCAATCAGATCTTTAGTTTGACATGTTGGGTGTATTCTTTGACGTAGCAGAGCCTGCTAGCTGGCCTACAAGTACATCAGCATTAACGTGCAGCTCAGTTTTAAGGTGCAGCTCTGCAGTGAGGTGCAGCGTGCGCTGTGATTGGTCAGTGGGCGAGCACGTGACTATCGTGAAACGAAACTTAAGGAAGCTTAGTCGGAGTAGTAAGAGTTCAAATTGAAAGATATGGAAGAAATTATGACATTTTTTGCATTTTGCTTGGTGTAGATTTTTTTTACCTAGCTTTGTTTTTTTAACACTCAATGGCTGAAGGAGGAGAAACAGATTTGTGAGTTGGGATTTAACCGTGGGATTAAACTCTTTGTCAACAAAGAAAGGAGGATGGAGTTTGTCTTTAAGTCAACTGAGTTTGTTTTTTTACATCTAATATCTGAATGGCCCTTGAGTGTGTAGGTGTTCCGCTGCAGGTCTGCTGGATTAATTTGTTGCTTTGTTGTCATATGAATATATGTGACTGCTTCTTGTGAGTTTGTTGTTGTCATTGTGTTAATTATATAGATTTGGACTACATGCATTGTCCGTTAATTACAAAGCATACCGTCATGCGTGGAGTTATTGTTTGTTAAGCTAGTTTAGCGTAGCCTCCCAGAAGTGCGGTGCCTCAGCTGTCTCTTGTTTTGGGTTTTTTTGTTCCGGGTTCAGAGGTCACAAAGCCCGTTGTCTCCTACGTGAGCGCAGTCCACCGAAAACATATTTCCCACAATTTAAGCTTCTGCGTTTTCCAAACGCACTAGTATTATTCAAACGTATTGTTTGGTTCGTAAGCCTCGTACCGAACGCTTTAATACCAATACGTGTATTGTTACACCAATAGAAACAAATAACCGTAGCTTGCGCGTCATAATGAGATCATTAGGTGGTGTTTCAGCTGCAGGACAGCACTGAAGGCCCAGGTATGAAATGCACGGCCCGCCACTGGTCAGCAGTAATCCCTTACATCAAACTTAAAACTAATTTTGACAATCATATTTTAAAATCTTACTGAGAATCACGTGTGACCCTGTTCATCAGTGTTCATAATCCTCTACATGTCGGTGTGAAACGTTTGACTCTGCACTGACCCTCTCATCTTTTCACAGATACTCCAGAGGACAATGAAGCAGGTATGAACAGGTTATATAAGAACTGTGTTGTGCATCAGTATAAAAATGTTGCTCTGTGGGTTTTTTATGCGTATTTTTTCATATTTTTATACATTGCCTCATGAACTAAAGATTTTACTTTGCTGTTTCTTTTCTATGCGTATACAGATGAGGGAAAGCACAAGTCAAAGTAAGAACAGAGTTCATATAACTTAACTTGAAACTGAATTCTCTGTGAGAGACATATTAAGATAAAAAGATTTCCATTTTTCCATTCTGCTCACCAGGCCTGGTTTTGTGGCCGGCTTGGCGCCTCCTAAAATCCCAGATGGAGAGAAAGTTGACTTTGATGTGAGTTCATCTCAGTGCTGATCAAAGTTGCACCTGCAAGCTGTCTTTTTTTTGGAAGGCAGATTATTGGATGAACTCAGAATTCAACTTCTTGCTGTAATCTTTCAGGACATTCATCGAAAACGAATGGAGAAGGACCTGACTGAGCTCCACACTCTGATCGACGGCCACTTTGAAAAGCGTAAGAAGGAGGAAGAAGAGCTTCTCAACCTCACAGATCGCATTGTATGTATTTTATATCTAAAGTCAAGCGCTGTCTTTAAGTCACATTTTGATATTACGTGATATTGTTTTGGTCGGTAAAATGTATTTTCTTTCCTACTTTAGGAGACACGCAGGTCAGAGAGAGCAGATCAGATGAAGATCAGGGCAGAGAGAGAAAAAGTCCGGCAGAACAAAGTAAATGTACGTATACGAAGACGGAAAACGTCCATAGGACACACTGTAACTGTAGATCATCTTCCTCAACCCTGCTACATGTCTGTCAGCCACTGCCTTTTAAATATGTCAAAGTACCATTTGGATGTCCTACCCCAGGCCAATCCTATCTATAAATCATTCTTACATTCAATTAAACCAAGTTCAGACGATGTCACACATCAAAACACTGTAAACTAAGTGATTAAAGGTGCATTAATGTGTTCCACCAGGAAGAGAGAGCGAGAAAAGAAGAGGAAGAGGCAAAGAAAAAAGCAGACGAGGGCGCAAGGAAGAAGATGATTCTGTCCAACTTTAGTTTCATTGGATACAATGTGAAGATTTTCTTTATCTTTAAAAATACACTAGCATACTTTGTGAGATGTGCACAAATCGCTTCATGTGCGCTCTTCTTCCTGAACAGCAGACACAGCCTGGCGCGAAAAAACAAACGGAGAGAGAAAAGAAGAAGAAGATTCTTAATGATCGACGCAAAGAGTTAGATGTTGATCACATGAAAGAGGACAAACTCAGGTAAAATAAAAACAGTGACAAAAAATGTCCCTCATTTCATTACAAATACGCTCGCAAGATCGATCGCTTTCTCGTCTGTACTGATGCAGGGAGAAAGCCAAAGAAATGTGGGACTGGGTTCGCCAGCTGGAGGCCGAGAAATTTGAACTTCAGTATAAGCAAGCGAAGCAAAAGTATGAGGTAAGGTATTGCGTCATCATGTGTAGCGTATATCACCAACCTGTTTTCATTCTGGGATGCAGGCCAACATATGAATAGACCATGACAGAGAGCTTTATGGGAACACTTACTGTGTTTAAGACAATATCTAAATGTCCGACCAGTTTGTCAGTTATCGTAAGTGGAATTCAGCCGAAGATCCCGAGTCTGATAAAGACGAAGCAGTAGAAGAAGAATTAAAGGAGGAGTTAGAGGTTTTATATACAGTATATATACCTAGACTGCTCTACAGAGAGCAGTACAAACAGAAACAGTGAGGAGAAAAGAGCTAAGTTTTAGGCTAGCTAGCCAAACAGTTTAAAGATAAGTTAAATAGTATTATTAATATTAGAGAAGTAATATCAATATCTTACCTCTTAGTTCAACTAATACTTTGTACAATTAATTCATCTTTAATTTGAGTCATTTCAAATGTGTGATCTAAATGTGGTGCAAACATTCCACAAGAGTCGGCGTTTGAGACAGCTACTCTTAAGCTAGGCTAGCTTAGCAAGTGTTGGGCTACTTTGTCTTCCTCCATCATAACGATGGATTGATGTCAAACTGAAATACTAACATGTAAAATCATCAAAAGGAATTTCTCAATTATAGAGAACAAGTTCGGAAATTCAGCTTCAGCTAATGCTAACTGTGGCTACCTCACCAGCTAGCTTTAACTTAAACAATCAGTGGGCACATTTTAGGCTTCATGCTCTTTTTCAGACATTTCTACGGCGTAATACATTTTGAAATGGTAAAATAAATGTAGAAAAGTAAGATTCAGAGTTGGCCAAATATTTGCAAATATTGTGGCTGCAGTAGGCTGAATATCGATACATTTTTTTAACATCATTTTCACAGATCACGGTGCTGAGGAACCGGGTCAGTGATCATCAGAAAGTGTAAGTCTATTGTGTTATGGATATATATGGATATTTGAAGTGCCTTCTAACACTTGTAGGCTACTGCATGAAAGCAAGAAGTAGTGCTGTGGTAAATTTATGCATTTTCTTTGTCTCGAGTGTGACGAAATATCACTTCTGTATAAAATGCAGAATATCGCCTCTTTCCAGTGCAAATACATTGAATCTCATGAGATAAATAAATAAAACTATACACTATAAAATAAACACATTTATGCATTAACAATTATAATCCAGTGATATAGTAAACATAATGAGTAGTTTTACTTCAAGTGTTTTGATGCTCATACTGTTGTCCTACTATTGCTTAAGTCATATGTTAAATGCCTGACTTTTACTTGTAACAGAGTATTTCTGCACTGTGTTATTGCTACTTTTACTTTTGTGAAATATCTGAGTAGGCCACTTCTTTCACCATTGCAACATAAGACATCTGACATCTAATATTTATCTTTCAAACAGAGGATCTTTCATCAAGACTGGTAGAAATAAAATAAAAAAACCATACAGTAGATTTGAAAAGGCAGAAAGTAACATTCAGGTAATCAATCATTTCCTGCTGCCACTCATAAGTCTGTCCTGATGCAAACCTTCACCTAGTGACCTCAATAAGTTACCACCTCCTATTTCAGCTTCCCCTCAGCTTCTCTCGCTACACTGATCTCCGTTTGTTTGAAGCGGCATCAGTTGCAGCCTGTTTGCGTCAGCTGCCCGACAGCAGGACTAAAGTAGCCAAACGGGACCGGGAAAACAAAAAGGGGCGAACACACACACGAGAGAGATGTTTGAACAAAAGGGCAAGCTGGGGTATCTGAACAACATATATGCACTCCGTCTTGAAGGAGAGACGGGATTTAAATGCAGGTACAACAGCTGAGAGATCTTATAACTGCTATGTGATATCGTCTGTGTTAATGTAGCTCACAATAAAACAGTGACCAGACCCTGCTGCCATCCAAGTCATGTGGATCCTTCATTCCAATCAAGGTTCAGGCTCTGAGCAAAACTTAAACAAGCTAATATTGTTTTTCCTGCAGAATATGACGTTGCTTTTGCAAAACCAGTAATACTAGAATTCTGTAACTGATCATTTCAAACAGGAATCCCTATGAAATGGAGGCTTGAGTTTTTTTAATTTTCAGATAAAACAGCCCTAATTCATGTTCAGAAATTGTATCACGTCAAACAATAAAAAAAACAATTTGTCCCAGTTTCACCTATAATGTATAAATGTATGTACTCATAGTGAAGCTGCAGGGATCAGGTACCTCGGTAGCAACAGCAGATAAAGATAGCAGTCAACTATTTGGTAGCAAATCCCCCTTACAACAGCAGACAGCTATGACAAGCTCTCAGTGCCGTATCTGAGGCCAGCAGCAGATCTCTGTGGAGCAACCTGGGGGCCGGGACCCCTCAAATGAGTCATCGTGTTTATTTTTCTCTAATATTTGCTATTTTACAATTAGAAACCTGAGAAAGGAAAATCTCTCTTTGATAGAACTTCTCATAACTCATTGACTTGCACCTTTGTCATTAGGGGGGGGGGGGGGGATAACGCTTTGTGGTTAAAGATTTAGGTCCACTGCTGCACAGGAATGAACTGCAATTGGGCCGGACTGAACATTGACCTGACCAAATTGTAGAAAATAAAAAAGACAAGGAAGAGATTTTTGATCTGCAGCGACTTTCATGCAAGTGCGAGAAAACGTCTAATGGCCAGATTCCAAACTACGAGGATAAATTGCTGCAAGTAAAGGGTTAATGACAATAAAACCATGAAGTTAAGACTTTTAAGAGAAGGCTTGTTTCTGGTCTCATGATGTCTAAAGTTTCCTTTCTGCAAAAACAATTTCCCTAAAAAATAATTTCAATTTCAAATGAAGCCAGAGTGACTTATTTGCATCACAAGAAACAATAAAATGTCTGAAGTTCATTAGAATCAAACGAGCGGTGAGACGCACAGCTCAAATTAAAGGCTTCAACACACAAATGCATTTACCATGGGACGGAATGTACAAGGTTCATTATTATGACTTTTACTCTATTCTCAGATCAAAGGGTAGCAGAAGCAAGCGTGGCCTGAGGAAGTAACACATGACGTCAACCTGAAGGAAACTGCCAACACCTGACAATAACCGCAGCATAATGTTTTTCTAAATACTTGAACATGCATGGACACAATTACAAACGCTCTTAAATATGGTATCTGTGAAACAAAGTGCATGCCGAGTTCATCTGCAGGAATGTAGCAGTATAGTAGTAGCAGACTGAGGTGTTGCAGCTTGTGCTTATTAAACAGGGGATTTGACAGCAGATGTGTAACCCATTAAAATTACTTCACTATATGAAAGGATACCACTTTGACAAGATTTACAATGTAATCCTAGTTCTATGTCCTACCACCAAGTCATTTTTAGACTTCTAAAAGTGAAGTTGAGACTAATTCATTCGTTCTTGTGTGTACGAATTTGAGGTTGCAATGAATTAAAAGAAAATCTTTGTTTAACAAACCAGAAATGGTGGCCTCTGTCTCTTAAGTCTTTAGTTCCTTCACTTTTGGGAACGTTAACATGAACGCTAACTTCATGGTCATTATTATTTTTTTTTTTTAAACACACACGCCTTCTTTAATAAGGGCAATTTGTGTTTGCCAAATCCAGACAGCCTTGATGTGTGCTCCCTTGTTACCATACGAGAGCATAAATCTATCAGTGTAAAATGAGTTAAAGTGTCGCCCACGATCCCAGAATCCCATTTTGGCCGTTGGGTGAATTATGTGGTTTGAACTGTCGAGGACCTAAGTTCAAATCGGGTGAACAATTATATAATGCGACAACAGCTGCAGTCTCTGGCTCAAAGAACTTGTTCATAAGCCTCATAAAATAAATTAGAAGGGTGGAGTAAACAGAATTTGAAAGATGTGTTGCTCATCTGCCCAGAAGCATTTCAAACTCTGCAGCCAAAAGCCCAGAGGAGGTGAGGAGACATGAGTGAGTGAGGTGTAATAAAACTCTATTGTGTATTCTGCACAAGTGACAGATAATTAACTCAAGTTCACGGATTCAGCGACACAGTTACAGCTCGAGGAGTAGAGCTCTGTCAAGCTTTATTAATTACACTTTTTGGGGACATTACAAATATTTCACAATCGTCCACATATGAAAAATAAATGGATACATCACCAACACACATCGCTGCTTAAGACAAGGTCACTGATTTTATAGCAAACTTATAAACTATAACAGAAAATGTCCTCTGTTAGCTATGTTCATTTTACTTAATCAGTTTTTACTTTTTTATTTTTTTACATCCGGTCATGATGTTAAAAAAACAATCTTAGTGCAAAATGTAATCTAAACCCTCAAAAAGCAAACAATGACTGTCTAGTTGCTAACATGTTACATCTTAGCCTTTCTTTCCTACAAATAAAAAGCAACCTTACAGTATTTACAGGGATGCTGCCTGTTGATGGAAGCATTATGTGGACATGTATTTAAACTCTAAGTCTTTGTGATGTTAAAAAGGATGTCGCTCAGCCTCAGTGGATGTGCAGCAGACCTTCAGGGGAGTTTCTCTGTCAAAATGACTTCCAGCCGTCCGTCTAAGCTGCCGTTAATCGACAACTTGAACCGAGTTGTGTGCCGCCGCGGTGGTGTCATTCACAAACGAGGACTTACTCATCCCTTGCTGCAGGAGAAATAGTGAAATGACAAATCAGTGCACCGCCTCAGTAAACACACTGAACTTACAGTGAGTGACAAACCCCCCGTGTACTTAACTGCACTGCACTCACGGCTCATTTCTCGATTACACGCTTTGAGTTGGAGTCAAAAAGGGAGTCATGATGCATTGTGCTAATGTGAGGTCGTACACTGACTGAGCTACTAGATTCCTTGGCCGTATCGCTTTAAGAGCCTCGATCACACTCAATGGGCATTTCCCTGAGAATGTTGCCTAAGCCAAACTTTCTCCCTCAGTTTCTCACAAATACCTGACAGAGGCGTCGACACTTTCGAGTTGAAGGTGCGAAACAGAGAGGACACACCCAAACCCTGACAGGTCTCGCCACTCGGGGTTTAAGCTTCAACTCACCTTTTTCAGGACGCTTTGTAAATCTTTTTCTGACCACATGTTGTGGAGAAGCAGGGCTGCAGCGTTGCTGGATTTGGGGAAATGTCTTTACAGAGGGAAAACAACTGTTAAAGATCCGTTTGGACTTTCTAACATGCTGGAAATCTAACATGCATGCAAAATATACTCCCGGTGAGTCATAGGTAATCCCCGTATCTTGAATAATCGTTTGTTAAGAATACACATGTGAGATACACACCGCTCACATGGAACCTTACCTGTTCTGGCTGAGATCTTTCAGTGAATTAATCAGGTTGTTGTTTAACAGGTCCTTGCCCATCTCAGGTTCCTTCATAAGCAGGCAGTTAGAAGTCTGGCAGGCCATGGACAGCGTGTCGTCAGACTCATTTCCTTCCTTGGTGCCTGCGCTGAGGATGCCCAGCAGCCCTGGGAGGGCTTTACGAGCTTCAGTATCAAAGCAAACAAAACCGACAGGCTGTTTAATACAACGCAAAGACTTGTAAAAACCAAAAATGATTATTGTATTGCATTTCAAGGTACTGACTCAAATATGACATCAGCTATGAAGCAAAAAGCACAGTAGATTCTAAATACTATGCTTAATCATATTTGTGTTTAAAACATGCAGGTGACATGGTTTTTGTGCCACGCGTCTTACCTATGACACTGTGCAAGTTTGGGTTCTGGGTCAGGTTTCCTACCAAAGCCACTGCGTTCCTCTGCATGTTGACTTTTTTTGATTTTATAAGGGGACCGATAACTTGCAGGCCATTCACTTTCTGCACAATGGTCTGGCACATTACACTGGAGACCTGTGAAGACAGAAAACCACGTGAAATCAGGAAAGTCTGAGTGCAAGCATATACCAAAACATGCATATATAGTATAGAGTTGACCTAGAAGTGTTTCTGGTAGAAAATAATATTTACAATGATAATTACAAGGTTATCCAAACTAGTCTCCATGAGCTACAACTGCTCAGGTAATCAAATGTAGTTTGTTGGATTTTTTTTGTCACAACTTGTTTTTTTCTTACAATGCTTTCTTGTGCGGTGAGGTTCTGCAGGGCTCCACAACAGGCCTCCTGTGTTTCTTCTCGCTGGCTAGTCTCAAGCAGAGACAGGTAACTCTGCATAGTTTTGGAGTGGATCAGCAAACCGGCCCCACTCGGTTGTGGATCCTCCACAACCGGGAAGTCAAAGTGCTGCTGGACAAGGATGAGGGCAGAAATGCTGAATTTGTGTCCGTGTGCAGGACAAGATGGAGGAAAGCTTCCGTGTTTAATGCCAAGGCAAGAGGCGATTTCTCAGTTGAGAATGGATGGATGGCATGATTTCACTTTGACTATTCTTTTTCATTTCTATTTGCCGTTGATATGATGGTGAAATGAATAAATATTAATAATCAAAATTTCACTGTAGGATTTTTGGAAACAGACGATGAATCTGAATGATTCATGGGAGGCCATGTCATGGGAATGCAAACATGCAACACACTGAAGATTTGTTTTAACACAAAGTGAAAGGTAACACCTACTGGAGTCACAGCACAAAGTCTCGCACTGTCACTCCAAGCCTAGAAAATAATTACCGGCACAACCGCCATAATGTCAGTACGGTTACTGGACAAGTCACGCTGAAGAGTAGGATTAATGAATGACAGACACACTGACAAATTCTGTCTAGACAAACTGAACCCTTGTAGGAAGGGTCAAAAAGTATTTTCCATCATAATTCAAAGTATATCCCTTGGGCCCTGTTCTACATCGGTACGCACACTTGTCTCTGTCGGGCACCTTCCTCGTCTCACCTCGTGTTCTGATGTTTTGCCCTGGGGACTGAAGCAGCCGGTGGAGCTGGTGTCGCCCTGGCTGGGACCCCTGTTGACCGTCTTGGCCAGCGCCGTGATCCTGCTAAACAGAGCCGGAGCCTCGGCCTGCAGCTGGAACGTCAGGTTGTGCAGGATGCACACGCAGTTTTCCACGGACTGTTTCAACGACACACGACATGAGGGCCACGTTTAATAAGACTCAGACACACAAATAGCAGAGAGATATTATGCCACTAATAGAAAGTAATGCGGTAAAACCTGCTCCCTGCAGCCCCGTTATCACAGCATTTTAATAATGCACAATATACAATATTGAGCATCCCTAGCCTGCCTGTACTGTTCAAATCATGGGTCTGTAAACTGTCTGTATGAAGGCCACATACTACAGTACGTCGTTTTCTAAGCAGCTGAGAACATTATGACTCAGCTGTGCCTTCAGTTGCAGTAGAACCGCTCTGTGCAAAACTACAACAGCAGTTGGCAAAAACTTCATACTGCAGCTCCCTGCTATTATGTTTTTTTTTTTCACGTTCCACTTGAAGGTGTGACATGTGAAAAGAGGGTGCAGACAGACAGACAGACAGAGTTCAGTATGAATAAAAACATATTAATTTCTCTCTCTCTCTCTTACCTTATCATCTGGTGTTCCTGCATCCACGCAGCCTTTAACATAACTGACCAAAGAGTCGACCAAACCTCGACATTTTCTCATCGCCTGTCTGTTGCTTTGCTTCGTGCTGCTTAGGTTTCTGTTGGAAAGGAAATATCACACGTCTGATCTATGAAAGAGGTAGTATTCTTGGCAAAGAACACACATTGTGTTTTATGACAAACATAACCATGACAGTCAGTGTGTAAATGTAGTTGTCTGATATAAATTTTGCCCTGCCTTAAAGGTCAACAATAGTAAATCTTGTTCACTCAGGGAAATGAATAAAACTAGTCAAGTCAAAGAACTACAGCTTTCCCAGAACAATACGGGAAATCAGTCAATGTTTTACTGTTTGCTGATGTAGTAAGATAACTTACTAACATGCTAACATCACCTGTGCCTGCGGTTTGATTGATGGTGATGTTATACATTTACATTCACAAATATTAAAACACCTCTGCAGCTGCTTTTTCTTCTTTTTAAAGCATCAACTCTGACAGAAAAGCTTATTCATAGGTGCAGACAGGCTTGTAAGGATTTGGAAAGACATTGAAGGCATAAAGGAATAAAGTGTTGTACAGCACAGAAATAAATAATATCAGTGGAGACACAAGATGAGTATACAATCTCAATACAGTTCAACAGCATACTCTAAAATCACAAACACCATGTACTAAAATGTCCTTAAAGTTCAGTCAACACCTCTGAAGGCTGGGCTGGTGTTTTAATAAACTGTCCGCTGAGTATGTCTTATTGTGATGATATTCAAACTTAGTAAAATATTACATGCATTTCTCACAGAGGTGACATAAAAACAACCTTCGACTGTGTCGCCAAAATTTACATTTGTACTATTTATTTATCTTGCCCTTTACCTAACCCCTTTACCTAACCCCGCCCTTTGTAAAAACAAGGCAGATCAAGAGTGTGCGACCGAGTGTCGTAGCAGTAAAAGCAGTAAAACTACTGCTATCAGAAAGCTAGTAGTATCGGTCTGTGTTCTGGTGTCATTTGTCTACATTCACATTCAATATATTGACTAATTCAGGCTTTTCATAATGTACTGAACCAGTTTTCTACTGACCTTCCCTCACCACGAATCTTTTATCATGCACATCATCATATTCATATGAAAATAAATCTCTACAGGAAAACATTCCTCAAAGCATGTTTTACACATTTCCCTTGTGCAGGTTTGATATTTACAGCTGTTGTGATGTATGGACGTCATGTATAAATATGTATTAATGGGTCTACTGCTTTGGTCCAGAGTTACACACAGAAGCCTTATGACAGCTGAAGCAAACACACGTGGCGTGATATCAGGTGCTCGGTTGGATCTTTCGCTTGCCTTAGACATCCGGTGGCATTAAAGAAGACATCGGGGTCCCGGCTGTTACTGCTGGTCCGGTCGGGACCTGTTGTGTACGGCAGGATCGCACGCTCCATTAAGACAGGCAGAGCGCTCTTTAGCAGGTCTGGCTTCACGCTGTCTACAGAGGACAAATTCCACAGAAGACCTGGAAGGAACATGAAAACCTCAGCTGTTTGAGTGGCACGTCAATGAAAAATGAATTCACAGCCTGTGGGAAAAATATATGTTGGCCTGGTAACTGAAACTTGATCTTTTCTGGATGTTTGTAATGTTCAGATTCAATCACAGTATAATCATTTAACACTTTTCCACCTAAAACAACACCTAGCTTCATCGTTAAAACAGCAGCGAGGTGATATGCTTCCACACTTGGCAGAATGACAGCAATCAAGAACAGCTTAGTGATTGACAGGAGGATCTAAACAGGATTATGTAATGCAGCAAACAAGTGGCTCTCTGTCTGACTTGTTTGCATGGCTAAGTGTAGGTGTGTGTGTGTGTGTACACACATGTGTCGGGTTGCATCTTCCAGAGCTAACGTATACCTGTCAGCTGTTTCTGTATCTCTACAGAGTCCGTATCTCTGAGCAGAGCCGCAGCCTCCGTGACGCCACCCGAGCGATGCACCCGCTCCTTGTTGTCGTTGCTTTTGAAGGACAGGTTACGGAGGGCAGCCGAGGCCGTCTGGCTGACTTGTGAACTGGAGCTGCGCAGCAGACCCACCAAAGGGTGGATCCCATTGAGCTTCAGCACCTGCGAGACGAGAGGGCTTCGGGAGTTAGCGCAGTAATAATTTACCATAATCCTAATGATAGGGATTTGCTCAACATGAAGCCTGTATTTTCTATGACGGATTACGATGAGTTCAATGATACTTCACGTCAGCAGCAAGGCTGCAATACAAACGGGAAAAAGTGAGCCACAGCCAAGGGGCCGGAGACCCCCAGGGACCACTAAAAAAAAAACTCAGGTTTACTGCATGTTAAAGATACAATCATTAAAGGGACAGTTCACCCCCAAATTAACAATACATATTTTTGCTCTTACCTGTAGTGCTGTGTATCACTCAGTGAGTTGCCTCGTTTGGGAGATATTTGCAGTAGAGATGTCTACCTTGTCTGGAATATAACAGGACAATATGGCCCTCTGCAACGTCTCTTTTCAGATATCATGAGCCAGTTACTGAAGATAATCCACAGACCTTGTTGTGAGCATTTTCATGTAGGAACTATTTTCCTTTCAACCATAGTTTCTACACAAAACTGCTCACAACAAATAATTGGTAAGAGGAAAGATATGTATTTTTGATTTTATGGATGCACTTCTCTTTAAGATTTTCATAAAACTAAAAAGATTAAATGAAATGTTTTTGTTCATATTTAGGCTCAGCAATAGCCCTTAAGTAGCTTTCTACCCTGTAATTACTTGTCGAAATTTCGGTGTTCCCCGGAGACATTCCTATGCAGGATTCAAATGACAGATCCAAGCATGAGGAGCTCACGGGAAAGCTCACATTTGATCTCACAGGTATCAGACGCACTGTTTACCATCACAGTGTCACAGCTGTATTAAGCTACTGCTAAATCTTCGGTGGAGTTTTGACTGACATGGGGTGAGAGGGCAAAGGCTGAATGTTCATGTTTGGCAGGACAGAACATTTACGACATTTGTCAAGATCTCCACACTGAATGTCAGGTTAAAAATGATGAATGAAATGAAAGCAGTGTGTCAACACGACGTGAAGATAACAAGACAAGCCACCTCCTCTTTAGCTTTGTCGTCGATGAAAGTGTTGTGCTGTATGTAGGAAGCGCCACAGTGCTGATACGTCTCGTCCTCGCTGGAAAGATACTCGACAGCCTCCTTCATAGTGATATCAGCAAATCCACTGTTGTCGTTTGACCTGTAAGAGAAAAACAACAACAATGCAAATGCTATTTAAACACAGAGGATGCAAGAATCATTTGTTCAGTGACACATTTGATTCATATGATTTGAAATTAGCGGCCAACTAACCCAGAATCTCCTTTGCTCTTCGGAGCGCTCTCAGTAACGGGAGACTTCGGGAGAGTTTTGGTCACGTTCACTTGGCTGCTTACGAAGTGGCTGTTTGTTTTGGTCTGACCTGTGCCGTTCACAGTGTGCACAGGCTGCAGCTGAGGCTGGGATGCCGTGTTTGTTACAAAGTGAGCGCTGACCCGCTCTGTCTTGTAGGCGCCCCTATTGGAAAGGAGCCTCTGCGGAGGAACGGAGCGCTGTGTCACAAGGCCCCGACCGAGCAGATCAGAGTCGCTGCGGCTGGTGTTGTTTTGACCGACCGCCATGGAGCCGAGAGAGGCGTAACCACTCTTGGACGGATAGGTAGTCGTGCTCTTCTTCACACTGGATCCCTTAATGTTGACTACACTCCGGCTGAAAGTTTTCTCTTGGTTGAGCTGCAGAGCCAAAGAGCACATGTGTTTGCCATGAAAGATAATCCTGTCTCGTGAAGGCTTATTTCGATCCGCAACGAAGCAAAGAGACAGAGTGACTGATATAAAGCTGGCAATGGAAAATGTAATTGTGAAAGAAGGTTTTGGTGTGCAGCCCTGTGGGTTGGTTATACGACGGCTGGCAGCTTCTAGGGGAGAGGCTGGTAAACAACATATTTCTGTGAGGAGAGAGAAAGTCTGGATGAATCTGGAAACAGGCTTTTGAGGAAGAAATGGGAGAAAAGTCTGCTGAGGACAACAAATCTTTGAGCCTGTTTCTTATTTTTGGTATTAGGCCACAATATGGTAAATACAGGTCCGTACTAAAGCGACGCATCAAATAGTGGAGAAATAAAAACGCTTTCACTTTGATTCATTGGAAGTTAAAGTCAGTCGTAACTCACACGGGGCAGGGCAGGATTTAAAAAAAATATAGAAAAAGGATTCAACTTTTCAGATTATCTTACTTTATTTTTGAGGTAGAATCTATTCATTTTAAAGTTGAAAGAATTATTTGATTGAATGATTGATTAGCCAAGTATTTGGTTTGGGAAAGAATATATCTTCAACTATTGTAATAATAGTTGTGCCTTTTTTTAAGCACAAATGCCAAATATTGTCAAATGTGAGTATTTGATACTTTTCTTTGTTATTTATGATAGTAAATGAAATACGTTGGGGTTTCGGACAGTTATTCGGACAAAACAAGCAATTTGAAGACACCACATCGGCTACTATAATGGGCATTTTTTCACAATTTTCTGACACCTTATAGACAAAACAATCATTAATTAATTCTGATTGTCATTAGTTTCTGCCCTAATCTATATCCAATCTATTTTATGGTGTTTAAAAATAATAAAGACTCTAAGATATTAAGTTCTAATTAAGATCCCTCACAAAACACTGTAATTTGTGCAGTCTCTAGCTACGGCCCAGCCTCATTACCTCTGCGACTACAAATGAAGATAAACAAAACAATATTAATAAGGTCCATAACGTACAGTTTTAGAATAGCCATTCCCCGAGAAGAGGCCTCCGTTAGATGCGCTGGACGGTGACTTCAGAGCTTCTGTGAAAACGAAGTCATAGGAAGGAGCTGAGGAGACATAGAGGAAGCTTATCAGCTGTTACACACAGTTCACGAGATCAATGTCTTCAATTTATGACTTTTGTTTAAGAAAACTTATTCAGCTGGCGGGATGTCTGATCTTATTTTATTTATTGGTATATTGGAAGGTATTATACCTGTAAAGGTCACACTGCCAATCTTATTTCTATATTCAGCATTATTTGTTGTCATTGTTCAATCAATAATCTCTTGTATCCTATATTGAGACAGAACTCTATTTGATTTAAAAATACCTTTTGACATGGTGGACGTTCAAACAAAATCTACTAAATTACTGATTTTAAATAGTTTCATCCCAAATGTCAGATACAGACTGCTCAGAGAGAGAGAGAGAGAGATATTTTTTTTTTAGAAATAAGCAGTCTTCCCCCATTACTTATTTAGATCATTCTAAATTAGCTTTTAAATTATAATGATCTCCACATTATATTTAAATGGAGCAGTTCTTTAAAGGAAATTCCCCTGAAAATCAAACAACTGCAACAAGAGCTTTGTCTCCATTTTCTCTGAGCTGTAATTGATCCCAGATTGCATCATTTCCCCCAAAGAAATCCTAGAAAATTACAGAAAAGTTCTACAAATCATAACAGGGTTATGGAGGAAAAAGAGCTTACAGCAACAAACCAAAACAATAACAAGTTGTAATTGTATAATGTAAAACTCTCTTCAGTCCCGGGTAGTATGCAGGGCCCTGGTGTATTGGCTGCTCTTACATGTTGGAGACAAAGAAGTAGATCCACTCCTGCTGCTGCTGCTGCTGGACGTCCTCGACCTGTTCCTCCGGATAGTCTGCACTTGTTCTATGACGCGCTGTTGGGCTGATCGACATTGGTGAAGAGACGGCAGTGCCAGCGACGTGTCGTCCACATTCCCAATGGAAATGGCCGATTTCATCGGATCCATACTCATTTTGTTTCTGTACTGTCCGGGTGGTCCGAGCGCATCCAGAGGAGTCTCGTGCGTAAAGCCAGTTACCTGCGCAGTGTCGGGAGTTTCCAGAGGAAATAAAATCGCACCTTGCCCTGGCCTGCCCCATTAGACCGCGCCCATACAAACACAATACACCGCTCTTTACTGCACTTTCACTGGCTCGTTTTGGCAAATACCACTCAATCATAAAGCACATGACCTATTCTCCATTATGGCAAACAGTAATAAAAAGTAACCATCCTTTCAAGCGAAATTTAGAAGTATTATCAGTGAATCTACACAACTGGTTTACTGTCAGGCCTATGACATAACTAGATGTTTAATCCAGATAAATCAAAGCTAGTAGTATTTCCTGCAGTAGCTGGTTGAGGTGGAGCTACTTTACTTTATATAGTAGGTAATTTAGTCCAGTGGTTCCCAACTCAGAGACGAATCTGATTTGAGATAATTAATAGAGAATGGAAGAGAAAATAAGTTATGCTAAACAAATAGGAATTAATTTCTTGAATTTTTTTTGTGCAGATATTGTATAATGTTGCTGCTTTGGGACTTGACAGTCATTCAACAGTTATAAAGAAAATAAACACAACTCAAAAGACATCTGAAACATGACATTTTACTCGGTAATGATGTTTTATGTAAATACAGATGCTGAAAACTAACTATATCTGTGAAATCAATGTACAGTAAAAAAAAAAAAAAAATCCGCAGTACAAGTAAAAAGTATGTAATTTATTAATTTTACTTAAGCACAGTAATTAATGAAATGTACTAAGCTACTTTCCACCCCCTATACATCTTATAAGAATGCTCTGAGGAGGGCCAGTGTGCTTACTGAGTACTTCTACTTATAACTATTACTTAATGGAGAAATGTCAAATTGTTTTGGTATATTCAACTTAAAAGATGCAAGTACTTCTTCCACTACTGGAAACCTTGCTAAGGTCTGGAAACCAACAAGTCAATGAAGGCCTCATTTCCTCATGTTAACAAGTCATAAAGGCTACAACAACCACTATGAATCACTTTAACCCCATTAATCAAACTAAATGTCACACAATCTTCACACGAAACACACTAGATTAGAACAGATAAGGGAATAATAACACGAGGTGGAAATGTAGATAATCACGCAACGCAATCATAGTTCAGACCTGTTCACGGTGCATTGGATTCCTTCTTACCTGCCACGACTGCAAGAGTTAGAGAATGATGCCATCACGTGACGGTACACTGCAAGGCAAAAAGGGATATACAGTAGTTTCATCCATTTATTTAGCAAGAAACAGGGGATATAGAATGTAATAGGTTAAAACGCAAGTAATACAGTTGTGTGAAAAAGTGTTTGCCCCCTTCCTGATTTCTTATTTTTTTGCATGTTTGTCACACTTAAATGTTTCAGATCATCAAACAAATTTAAATATTAGACAAAGATAACACAAGTAAACACAAAATGCAGTTTTTAAATGGTTTTTATTATTAAGGGGGAAAAAAAAAAATCCAAACCTACATGGCCCTGTGTGAAAAAGTGATTGCCCCCTAAACCTAATAACTGGTTGGGCCACCCTTAGAAGCAACAACTGCAATCAAGCATTTGCGATAACTGGCAATGAGTCTTTTACAGCGCTGTAGAGGAATTTTGGCCCACTCATCTTTGCAGAATTGTTGTAATTCAGCCACATTGGAGGGTTTTCGAGCATGAACCGCCTTTTTAAGGTCATGCCACAGCATCTCAATCGGATTCAGGTCGGGACTTTGACTAGGCCACTCCAAAGTCTTCATTTTGTTTTTCTTAAGCCATTCAGAGGTGGACTTGCTGGTGTGTTTTGGATCGTTGTCCTGCTGCAGAACCCAAGTGCGCTTCAGCTTGAGGTCACGAACAGATGGCCAGACATTCTCCTTCAGGATTTTTTTGGTAGACAGCAGAATTCATGGTTCCATTTACCACAGCAAGTCATCCAGGTCCTGAAGCAGCAAAACAGCCCCAGACCATCACACTACCACCACCATATTTTACTGTTGGTATGATGTTCCTTTTCTGAAATGCCGTGTTACTTTTACGCCAGATGTAATGGGACATACACCTTCCAAAAAGTTCAACTTTTGTCTCGTCAGTCCACAGAGTATTTTCCCAAAAGTCTTGGGGATCATCAAGATGTTTTCTGGCAAAACTGAGACGAGCCTTTATGTTCTTTTTGCTCAGCAGTGGTTTTCGTCTTGGAACTCTGCCATGCAGGCCATTTTTGCCCAGTCTCTTTCTTATGGTGGAGTCATGAACACTGACCTTAATTGAGGCAAGTGAGGCCTGCAGTTCTTTGGATGTTGTTCTGGGGTCTTTTGTGACCTCTTGGATGAGTCGTCGCTGCGCTCTTGGGGTAATTTTGGTCGGCCGGCCACTCCTGGGAAGGTTCACCACTGTTCCATGTTTTTGCCATTTGTGGATAATGGCTCTCACTGTGGTTCGCTGGAGTCCCAAAGCTTTAGAAATGGCTTTGTAACCTTTTCCAGACTGATAGATCTCAATTACTTTGTTTCTCATTTGTTCCTGAATTTCTTTGGATCGCAGCATGATGTCTAGCTTTTCAGGATCTTTTGGTCTACCTCACTTTGTCAGGCAGGTCCTATTTAAGTGATTTCTTGATTGAGAACAGGTGTGGCAGTAATCAGGCCTGGGTGTGGCTAGAGAAATTGAACTCAGCTTTCCAAAGATGTGATAAACCACAGTTAATTTATGTTTTAACAGGGGGGGCAATCACTTTTTCACACAGGGCCATGTAGGTTTGGATTTTTTTCCCCCTTAATAATAAAAACCTTCATTTAAAAACTGCATTTTGTGTTTACTTGTTATCTTTGTCTAATATTTAAATTTGTTTGATCTGAAACATTTAAGTGTTGATCTGAAACATTTAACACTTTTTCACACAACTGTATATGTGGGGTATGGATGAGTTCCCTTGGACATACTTGGCCTACACTTTCACTTAAATGCCATGCAAGACAAAGAAACAAGCCTTCTGTTGAATACGCATGACTAAAAGTAGGAAAACAAACGTTACATATTTACATGAAAATTTGAAAGGCCAGGGTTGCACGAGAGATGTGTGGCAAAGACCAAGTATTTCACCCAAAACAACCCCTCCTTTAAATTCTATTGTTTACGACACACATTCATTATCCTCGCCTTTCAAATAACACTACATCAATCTTTAGAGAACATCCAAAGACTGACTTTGGTTTGTGCAACAAAAGACTTAGCCTCAAGCTTATTTGCATTGGTGTAGTGTATCCTAATCTCCATACAGCATGTGCGTTCACCCTTTCACTGCAGGTAATGGCAGTTATGGTTCAAATTTGGGCCTGAAAAAAATAAATAAATAAAAAAAAAGATGGAATATGTACCACACCCATGGGTGCTCTTGCCCTGAGGGCGTACCTGTGCCAGCTGACATGTGCGATCTGGCAAATGTCTCTCCCAATGCGTTCGCCAACTTTGTCTTGTAATTACTTGTAAGAAAGCCCATCACATGTACTGACATTGCTCTCTAGTGGTGAATGTGTAAAAGCCATCACACACTGACACGACACTCCAGAGCCACAGAGTATATGAAGTCTTTATTATTGCTTTCATAATCATGCCTATCACAGTTTTGGAATGAACATCAGGTAATATTTTAAACCTCATATCCTTAAAGTGAAAAACTATCAAGTGCTTTTCCAACATCGAGGTGAAAGATTAAAGTTTAAAAATGATCAGCCATTGTTGGGCTGTTGGTGTGAGTCATAATACAGTTTTACAGCCATTTACATCATTAGGTCATTTCCTATCTTACATAAAAGGAAGCTGTTCATCGGGTTAGTCAACTAAGTGCACTGCACACTTTCTACACTACATGATACATAAAGATACTTTGCAGTGCAGGACAGTGAGACATGCCGATAAAGTTGTCTCTTTCCCTTCAACACGACACTGAAAAGTCTGAACTGGTGCATCGGATCCTTGTTGTTAAGCGCCACTGGCAGCTCTCTACAATCTGTCCTGCAGAGAAAGAAAGGTGACTGACCAAAATGTAAATCTTCAACGTCCGGAGTCTGTTTCTTAAATAAATCAGCAAACAGTCTGGACCCACGACAATTCTGTCAAAATCACGAAAGGGAAGCATGAAAATAAATAAACAGAAACAGCTGGTCCCGCTGACACTACCGGAGGGTGGAATGGAGGTCTGACCTCGAGCTTAAGAAACACAAAAGGTCCCCTTTAAGACCTTTGGGAACAGCAGCACACACATTTGATAATATGTAACAGGGAGTGTGTTTGTTGAGGTGCATTGTGGGTAATCTAGGGCTGAAAGCGGATGAAGACGAGTATATATAAAAAGTACAAAAGAGGTCAAAGCATGTGTCCTGCACTACTTTCAGAAACGTTCTTTGGAAACTCATTCTGCAGTGCAAGTCTAAATCTCAAGAGCATACGACACATTCACCGGATAAAACCTCCTCAAACTTCCATCTTAAAGCTCACTTCAAGGGCTTCTTTCAGTGAGCCCCCCCCCCCCCCGGTCTGCTCCCGTTTTACTCCTCTGGGGTAAAGGCGCTGGGCTCATGGCCCTCTGGGGGTCTCCGCTGGGCGTTGTGGGGCTGAGCCAGAGGAAAACCCCTGAGCTTGTCTTGCAGACTTCCTACAGCCAGCCTCATCTGGTCCTCGGCCCCCTGAAGAGATTTCAGCTCCATGGTGTAGAAGAGGTACAGCAGAGTGGTGGTGAGCAGGATGGCGAAGCACAACGCAGCCAGCAGGTAGAAGGAGGTGCGAGGGAAAGGTTGCTCTGCTCCCAGGGCCAACCAGGGCACAGCGGCGATGGCCAGCTCCAGGAACAGCAGAGCCAGCCCCATCACTCCGGTGCGTGCCGCTGTGTAGCGCATCCTCTCAGCACAGTGCAGGCCCACTTTGACTTCAGTACGCGCCTCGGTCACAATGTCGACCAACTCAGCCACCTTCCCTGAAGACACGCAAGGGAGGAAATACAAGGAGCGAGACAGCGATGATCATAGACTTCAACACGAGCGACACGGGTGAGTTTGATACAAGTTGAGCAGTGAAGTACCACAGAAAAAGGAGTCTACAGGATGTTAGCAGCTCTGTGAGGCTGTGTTTCAGCCCCATTCAAACAGGATTAACATTACAATATAACATTCAATATTCAATGTGCTCATTGTTAATTAAACGGACAGTAAACTTTCATTTTGTGTTGATTTTGGCGGTCCCTGTGGACCAACGTGGTAGTGTTTCCAAGCAGCAGATTCCCTTTAGAAAACATGGCATCGCTGAAAGCATTAAGAATAACTAAATAGAAATAGACGGTCTTTCTTGCTGATTGTCTTGTTTACATGTGGGTCATATAGAGGCACAAGTATTAAATTGAGACCGTGTCATAATCAGTTAAAAGTTCCTTCTTTAACCATGATGAAATGAAAGGATGTGGACATTCTGCAGGACTAGACCGGTACCTCTACCTAACGGCCCATCTGATTGGCTCATATGGGATCTTGCTCTCCGACTAACTTTAGTGTCACTTCCCTTTTCCCCCGTCGTCGAATTGGTTCCCAAATACACATATGTTGGTGTTATCATGTTTCCAACTGTTGGATTAGCAGTTATTAAAATTGTGACCGATGCAGGAACCATGAATGTCACAGCAATCCACTCATAACCGTTGAGGTTCTTCAGTCTGGACCAAAGCGATTGAGCGACACCGGCGTCACTAGAGCCCCTCAGCTAGCGTGGCGTAGCAAACATACCTGCAGCAGAGTCCCGGTTCTTTGACGTTCTTTGCCTGTCGCCGTCCGTCTCAGTTGGAGTTTGTGTCTCCAGTCTCAATCCAGCAGTCAGAGCCTCGTGGTCCGAGTACGGGAACGGATGATCGGGGACGGAGCCTTTGGTGGTGGACATGAAATCACAATAAATGTCCGTTTTGGAAGATCCCTGGGAATTTAAAGAAAGGGAAATGCTTCGGGGGTCAAAACACATTCACCTGATGACTCAAACATCATGATGTGAACATGAGGGGGTACAAAGCTCACCCACCTTGAACAGGATGTAGTCGATTCGAATTCCTTTCTCAAAGGGACCGAGCTCCTTTTTACCGATGAAAGGGTTGTCAGCTATTAGAGTCATACCATCCTCACAGCCCTGAAAAACAGTTTGTTTTAAGAGTTATTAAAAACAAAACACGAGAAAAAACAACCCTATTACCATCGTATTCAATATTGGGGCTGAACTATTTTTATGTAATAGCAATTATTTTTACTGATATCGCAATTGCTGTATAATTTGTAATATTAGAGGGATTCATCTTACGAGGTTCTGTACCAGACGGAAATGTTGTGTGGGTCAGGTCATGACAATATTTAATAAAAGAAAAAAAAAAGAAAAAAAAGAAAATGGTATTTTGACACACATTCTGCCTTTAACAAATATTGCAATTGAGAATTGCCGTCTGCCATACAGTGATTTCGATAAAGTTTTGTTTAATTGTGCAGCCCTAGTCGCTACCTACGTCAAATTTAGCCGACTCTACATAAGAGTCTCGGAGTGCGGTGTAGGACATCAACAGTCTGCTGCCGAGGTCCTGAGGGTGCATGTTGAGGTCGCCACCTAGAATCACCACATCTGCTCCAGCAGACGTGTGGCTGATAGGCACAGAGGGAATACACCATTACCAAGGACACACACAAGATGAAACTTAATTAGAAAGTATTAGAAGTACACTTCAGTAACTCCAAACAGCAACAGGTGAAGTTCACCTCAGAAAAATATGGAAATATACTCCAGAGTAGACAAAAAAGTGGCCCAAACTCTTTTGTGCAGAATCAACAAACGGAGACACGCTACCGAACAAACTGCTGCAGCTCCCAGGCCTGAACCACTCGGTGAGGTAGATAAGAGTCCTTGTCTCTGCAGTACTCCGCATGCAGCTGAAATCAATACGCAGAGTCGGCAGCACATTAATCAATAACTGGATATAACACACAGGCGGGGCTGAGAACGGATGTTAGGAAACCTCACATGAGTCACGTAGACGTTTGCAGTCAGGCTGCCGAGTTTCAGGACCGCCATCCCAACAGCTTTACCTCCGAACCAGTCGCCATGTTGAGCCTGATTATTGGGAAAAACACAATATGTTATGAGAGAGTTTGCCATTCTGGCGGGGGTGATGTCTAAAGGTGAAGCTCTACATCGGATGTCTGTATGTTTAAGAGTGGCGTTACGGATGGTTCTATGTCCTGCTGTGAATGTTTGTGCTTGGGTGTGTGTGTGTGTGTGTGTGTGTGTGTATTCTGTGTCTTTTGACTTTTAGGTGCAGCTCCCTAACGGGTGAGGCACCTGGATGAGGATGCGGTTTACCTATATAAGCGCCTCCTTGCTCCGCCCTCGCTCGTCTGCCTGGCACCAGACCCTGGTCTTCAGTTAGATTTGCATGTTACGGTTTATTTGTGTCCTGTAATAAACTGGCACCTGTGGTTTTTGAATCCAACTTGGTGTTGTGTTGTGTCCCTCCTTGTGTTGCGACTTCCGAGCCGGTCGTAACATAATGGGGGCTCGTCTGAAGCTCAGTTGGCCTTAGGTAATTTTTTACTCCTAGACTTAGTTAGTAGGTTCAGGCTGATGTCACCACTTAAGGTAGAGTTTTTAGTTTCTCTTTTTGAGCTTGCCTGGTTAGGAAAGCCTGCGTGTGTTGGAGAGACCAGCACCACTTTATTGTTTTTGGTGAGGTAACCCCGGGGTGGCCCCTGGGGTGTCCGGGAAAGCCGACGAAGACTAGTTGAGGTTTAGCCAGATAGAACTACAGTTTCTTAGGTAGAGAGGAAACCAGGTAAGTTCAAGAATAGGTCAGTTTGAAATGTTCATTCCTCAGGATAGTATGTGGTGGCATTTGCTGGCCTTTGTTCTTCACACATGCTGTACGCTGTGTGAGTAGTAAGAGTGGAGAAATATTGTTGTGCACGCTAGTTTTGGTTAAATGCTAGGCTGTAGTTTTGTTCTTCTTTGAACCCTGATTCGTCTGGCTGGCTTAGTAAGCCAGTGCTCATGCTTTTCTATTATCTGTGTGAGCTTCGTGTTCAGGTAGTCACATGCTTCTTGCAGGGACTGCATTTAGCGTCTGAAATAGTTAAGTAGCTGCTCTTGTATAGACAGCCTAGTGATTGGTGCATTTCAATTACTCTCTGATTTTGCGTAGATAAGCTGTGCTGTTTGGTAGCACTATTTCTGTGTGGTGGTGTTACTTTGTGTTGGTGGTTTGGCTTACTTAGGGGGAGCCTATTTTTGGTTGTGCTACCTTGTAGAGATTTGTTCCACATAAAGTTGTTTTTGCGATCTCACAATAAAGTCTGATTTTCAAGAGATCAGTGAAGGTCCTACAATAGAGCAGCTGGCTCAATGCACCAAAGCCCAGCTCATGTCTGTTGCAGAGCAGTACCATCTTGAAATTGCTCAAACTTCCCTTAGGAAAGGTCAACTTAGAGCTAAAGTAGTCACTGCACTCATTGAACAGGGAGTATTGCCCCGTGAATCTAGTCAGCCTGATGAGGAGCAGGGCTTACATGTGTCTGCAGGTTCAACTGTTGGGAAGACGGAACAAGTAATCTTGAAGTCTCAAGATGCTCAATCTGTACGTTTGCGAGAATTGGAATTCAGAATAAAAGAGCTAGAGATGGAGGCTAAGGAAAGAGAAGAGGTGAGGAGGTTTGAGATGGAGAGGTTGAGACAAGTACATGAGGAGAAAATGAAGGAGCCAAAAGCTCCTTCATTGTTGAGGTCAAAAGCTGAAACTGAGCAGGCAAATTTTTATACATCTAGTTCTCGTTTTGATGTAGCTAAGAACATAGCTTTAGTTCCTCATTTTGGTGAGAAGGAGGTAGAAAAGTACTTTTCCCACTTTGAGCGTGTTGCTACCACCTTAGCATGGCCTAAGGGAATTCTGGACACTACTGTTGCAGTGTATACTGACGGGTAGAGCTCAGGAGGCTTATTCACCTTTAACTCTGACCCAGAGCTCAGATTATGACATCGTTAAGGCAGCCATCTTGCATGCCACGAGTTGGTCCCTGAGGCCTACAGACAGGTTTAGAGGGTATCGTAAGGTGGAGAAGCAGACATTTGTGGAGTTTGCTAGAGAAAAGGAAATCCTTTTCACTAGGTGGTTCACATCACAAAAGGTTGTGACCAACCGTTGTGGCAAAACCGGCGAGACTAAGAGCTTAGCCTCTCCTCACACCTTTTGTTTAAGACCTGGAAGCAATGGGTCTCCTTCAGTTTTCATTAGGACTTGCTTTTATTCCAAAAAGCCTGGTCATTTCATAGCAAACTGTCATGCTCTCAATAAAAAGTCAGAAGGTACTCAGCCTGTAGGGTTAATGGTTTCAGTACCACAGCAGTTGCCCTGTGTAGTTGGTCCTTGTCAGACCAATAAAAAAACACACCGAGCATGACTCCTTTGCACCAGTCCGTATGGAGGGTTCAATAGCAATTTCTGATTCTGAGAAGCTCATCCCAATTCGCATCCTTAGGGATAGAGGAGCCTCTCAGTCCTTGTTTTTGGCAGGAGTTTTGCCTCTCTCTGAGAAGACCTCCACTGGTAGCAGTGCTTCAGTCCAAGGATGTGGGATGCGGTGGCTTAAAGCCCCATTGCATGTTGTGTATTTGCAATCTGGGTTGGTTACAGGCCCCGTCGTCGTGGCAATTCGTCCCCAGCTTCCTTTAGGGGGAGTAGATCTGATTTTGAGTAATGATTTGGCTGGAGGGAAGGTGTTTCCTGCTCCCATTGTAGTGGATAGACCAACAGGCTCCGTAGTTGACAATTACCAGAGTGCTGATCTGTCATCTCGGTTGCCTAAAGTCCTTCCTGCTTGCATTGTAACTCGTGCCCAGTCAAGAAAGTATGAAGATGTAGTGAATTTATCTGAAGTGGCTCCACCTGTTGACAGTCTAGAGGCTGATCCTGATCCTTCCGAGTTGCCTCTAGATAAGCTGTCCACTAACTCTGTTGGAAATGAGTCTACTGAAGTTAAATTGACCCGTCCTGTCACTGTGCCGGCTGGGCCTGACACACAGTTGAAGGTTGGCAAGGAACAGCTGATAGCAGCCCAGAAGGCTGACCCTCCTTTGGCCAAGTGTATGGCAGCAGTGTTGCCTAAGGATGAGAGTGGTACTACTCATGCCACTTTTACTGGGAGGTTGGTATCCTCATGCGTAAGAGGGTTTCTTCTGTTAAAACAGCATGGTTTTGGATGACACCCTTATGGCTGTCATCTTAATGAAGGGAGTGTTACGTATGGTTCTATGTCCTGCTGTGAATGTTTGTGCTTGGGTGTGTGTGTGTGTATTCTGTGTCTTTTGACTTCTAAGTGCAGCTCCCTAACAAGTGATTGAGGGCACCTGGAAGAGGATGTGGTTTACCTATATAAGCGCCTCCTTGCTCCGCCCTCACTCTCTCTCATCTGCCTGGCACCAGACCCTGGTCTGCAGTGGGATTTGCACACTACAGTTTACTTGTGTCCTGTAAATAAACTGGCAGCTGTGGTTGTTTTTAACCTAACTTGGTGTTGTGTCCCTCCTATATGTTGCGACTCCCGAGCCGGTCGTAACAGTGGTTTCCACGGTTGTGATGATCACCTATAAGACAAGTATGGGACTGTGCCCAAATGCAGCCTGGGATCCCTATTGGTCTCTATTAGAGGAAAGCTGGCTCTTTATCTTAGAGCTGCATTTCTTATCTCCGCCAAGGAGCTTATGTTTTCAGTTCGGTTTGTTGGTCTGCAAAATTATAGACAAACTACTGGCCCGGTTTGCTGAACGGGAACGTTTGCCTTCAGGGCTTTCTGCAAGAAAAGGTTTATCACAACCTCAAACATGATCTTTTCCTAAACCTGACCGAGTTAGTTTGGTGCCTAAACCTACGGAGGTGTCTGTCAGAAAGCCCTGAGGGCAAACTTCTCCCATGTGCGAAACTTGGTGGAAGAGTGTAGCACAGGCCAAGGAAGACGTGTGAAAATATTGAGTTACTAAATCATAGTGGTTTGTGTAATATATATATATTTTTTTATATATGCAAATTTAAATTTGACTCAAGTAATTAATTCACCTGCATTTTTTCACAACTGTTTTTGACAACAAGCTGCCATGTTCATAATTCTAACAGGTTTGGAAATATATACAGACAGAGTTGTTTCTTGCAGATTTGCATATCATTGGCCTTGGCCCTTCTTGTCTGAAATTGTTTATATTCTGCACATTTACTGCCTTTGTTCAACTGTTCTTTATTGTAATCTTGTTTATGTTCTATTGCACCGTGCATCTCTTGGTGTTATGAAGCGCTTTGTAACCATGTTGTGTAGTAGTGCTATGTTGAGAATCTTTTTCTAACTCTTGTTTATCATTGTTTACTTCCATCAAGTCGTATTTGTAATGTACATTACAAAAAGACTCTGTGGACTCACCATGTAAGGATAACCGTTCAGTGAGTAGCGATACAGAAAGGTCTCATGGATCCTGTGCTTGGAGAAGATGGCCAGTCCACTGCCGATGACTCCACTGAACAAAAGAGAAACGGGACATTAAAAGAAGCTTCACGCTCCACACACCAGCTTCAGTAGTACGTGGTTATTGTCTAAAGAAACAAGTCACATCCCTGGTTCCCATTCAGATCTACTTTATTCTGAAGTTTGTATGATATGATGTAGATGTGAGAATTTATCTACTAGAGATTACATTTTTGTGAGCTGCAAAGGGGATTAGAAAGGCAGGGCCTTTGATTAAGCTCAGTCTTGTGCTTTGGTGTGGAGGTCAAGAAAGAATTAAGCCACTAAAGTTAATCCTTTAGGTACTGCCTAGGATTCACTTATAATGTGGGTCTTTGGATCAAAGCCATGCAAGTACATTTTTTTTCTGACAGAGAGTCACTTCAGGAGCCTTTTGATAATATTAAATGTTAATCATGAATTTGAATCTGGGATTGAAAAGAGAGAAGAAATTACCTTTTGAAGTGATGAGAGTGAGGATGACTACAGGCTAGTTTCTTTTTCATGGAGAGATAGTCTTTCTCACTCCACACCTGAAAAAAAAAGGATGTCACTTAGAAAAGTAGAATACCAGCCATCTTTGCACAATTAATATTAGTTGGTCTTCATTGCAGAAATAAATAACTAACTGAGGTGCATCAGCTGAAAGATGGCATCCACCAACCTCTTGCAGTAAGACAATATCATGCTCTTCCTTGCACAGCATATCTCCAATCATGGCATAGCGCTGAGGAGTGTGTTTGCTGAGGTAGCGGATCCCCCTGAAGAAGTAAAGGAAAACAGGGTTTTTGTTTACATGTATTGAGACAAACAAAAGCTGGTGCATTTAGAATCACTACAAACCACAGCCACTGACCAGCAGTTCAGAGAGAAGACCCGGACATTGAGAGAGTCTGTGTTAGCCATGCTGGCAGAGCAGACGGTCAGTAGATGATGGAGTGTCAGATCAGGCGAGATGACTGGGATCAGCTCCTAATGCGACACGTGAAATGATTGTTGCTGTTATTAATGAGGTCAATATTTGTTATCTCATCCAACACACATTAGGTGGCATGTCTGAGTGCACAAAACGTTCCAATAAATACACATACTATCGTAATAAAATGTTTAGTAATTCAGCGCGGAAACACAATTTGAGAGTTGGACAACATTACGGTGTCATGCAGCGGGAGATGTTGGGTTGTTTTTCAAAAAGAGACAAAGTAAAGAGGCGGTTGCATTCCCTCCTTTCTCCCAGGAGTGCAACAATACACCAGCCCCACACAGAGTGCTGACAGGGCTTTACTGTCTGGAGAGAATAACGGGAAGCAGCAATGCAGTGAAACCCAATAAATAAAATAAACACTTTCCTTACAATGATAAGGTTAAACATTAACCTAAAGTTGTACAAAGCATCGGTCTGTGTTTACCTATAAAGGAGTGTAGAGACAGTATGTGTCGTAGCCATATTAAATGTTAATACCACAGACACTGGACTTTAACCCAGAATGTGGTTACACTTACTGACTCTATCTACACAATGTGGTAAGTCACGCGAGATTCCCTGCAAATACTGCAAAAGGTAGAGCACCCTATCGTTAGCTTGCAGACCAGGTGGATCACGTGTTTACGTATGTATTACTAACATGAGTTTATTATCATGTTACGTTGACGTTAGCGGTAATATTCGACCGTTAATCACTACAGGTAACCAGTTCAATGACGTTAAATGCTGAAGAACTCTAGCTGTGGCCGTTTGACTAACGTTAGTCTCTGTAACGTTAACGTCTCCGGTTACAGTTGACTTGTTAGCAATATGGTTTATTTATTTATTAGCTAGCTAACTATTCAACTCACCTCACGAACCTGTTGACGTCAGCTGAAGTTAACTGGACCGATGGACCGATTACTGCGCCGTAATGTTAGTTTAGCTTTAGAGCCAAAACACTTCCTTTAAGCGCGCTAGCTAGCCATTAACGTAATCCTAGGTAATTATTATCGAAGTCGGTTGGCCAGCATCTTAGAACACTAACTCAGCGGAGTTTGGCCACTACCATTGCTATGTGCTTTTCCTATCAGCATAAAGTCAGCGGGGATAACAAAAAACACATTTGTGATTGACCTCCGGTTGTGTTTCCCTCCAAAGTAAAACAGGAACTTCAGTCGCGTCTGTATTTTATCGACATTACTCCCTGAGTAAATGTATATAAAACACATTTTTAACGAAGTGAACTGTAGCTGTGAATGATGTAGTTTTAAAAAAAGCAACACGATTTTAAATAAGCAATAATTTCTTGTGCAAAACTTTAATTAGGAGGCTTTTATCCAACATCCGGTTTTACTTTACCTAAATTAATAGTCGTTTCCGGTTTGATTTCGGACGCCGCAATTACCTCTGGGAGGTGAAGTTCTTTAGTCAAACGCTTGGCACAAGCAAGTTAAAGTCCTTAATTCAACGCCCTATTTAAGAACAGAAGTATTATCATCTAAATGTACTTAAAGTATAAAAAGTACCCAATGTGCAAGAAATAGCCCCTGTTAATAATATATTATTATAAATTGCATTATTAAATTGTCAATACTGATACATCAATGGATTTTTTTAGTGTTTCGTTTCCTTTTCTCGCAGTTTAGAGAGGAAATCACGCTTTTTGTAACGGGCTACAAGCTAAAGGGGTTGGGAACCAAAGGTTTAATCTGGCAATTGTACTTCTGATGTAAAATCTGAATCAGAAATTACAGTATATTTGTCAGATGAATGTAGTGAAGTTGAAAGTAACAGAAAAGGGAAATACTCAAGTAAAGTACATACAAGAACTTCAAAATTGCACTCAAATACACTACATGAGTAAACGTACTTGTACATGCACTACATTCTGTTACCTGATTATGAATTTTAGCTAGAAACATTTTATCATACTTTAACACATAGGCAACTCTTTTGTGAGTTCAGTGAACCAATATATCTGGCCCTCATGATGCTAAGCTTTAGCATCATGCAGCTACACCTTGGACTCCATGGGCACCCTGAAAAAAATGTTACACTGCACCTTTCAGTGAAAGGGGTAAAAAGAAGCACAAGCGAGATCACAAAGCTAAATTGTGAAAGCCAACACTAACATAATATGCAGTTTCTATAGGTCTCCATGATAGTATATCAAAGAAAAGATCCATCATGGACAAAACAAATTTACAAACATGTTTATTAAGTTTTCTGGGGAAAAATGGCCCCAAAGGCACCATGCGTCTTTTATTGTTAGATACATTTGTTTGATTACATAGTCCAACCTCTAATTTGAAGTATAAAATTGCAATGCACAATGGTAACAAAGACAACAGTAAACCACTTTAAACCAAAAAAAAACAAAACAAAAAAACTGCCCACACCATTCAGAATATGACACATTAGATATCTCATTAATAATTATCAATATCAGCACAATCACACATTATTTTCAGTGAGGCATATGGCAAACACTGAAAGTCAAAAGACAACAGAATCAAAACAAAACATGAATCTTGATAATGGCAAAAACATGTCTGTATAAAAGATAAATTGAGAAACCTGCTAGAGGAGGAGTGTTATTGTATCTAGCTTGTGAAATATGACATCCAAAGCCAGGTGCAACTATCCCACTGCACAATATCTTAAATTTGAACTTTTATAACACAATTGTCCAGTGAACCACACAGAGTAGACACTTGTCTAGCAGGATCCACGGGATGACAGTTCTCCTGTCTCTAATGAGTCCTGCAATACTTTTAACATCTCCATCACAGTGGAAAACGATCAGTACATCTCCAGTACCCCACCCTGCCCTCCTGCTAATTCTCTTCCAACCCTATAAATAACAATCAATGGTCATACTCCACAGCACAGAGACAATAGCTCTTATTCAAGACAATGATTTTGTTTGATTTTTATTAAATGATTTTGTTTAATGTCAGTAAAAAGAAAAAGAAAAAAGTCTTAAATATAAAAACTGAACTTTAATCAACGAATGCAGCTTCTCCACACATTACAACGGAGAAGGGTGAAGCAAATGAACCGACTTCACAGCATACAATCTCTTTTTTAAACAAAAGAAACAGTGATTAACTCCCCCCCCCCCCCCTCCCACTTAAACCATGGTCTCTGTGCTGAGTTACTTGAACACAAATATGAACAGAAAGTCCCCTCCCCTCCAAAACAAATACTCCTATGTAACACGTATTCCTTTAGCATCCGCTGACTCACAGTACAGAAACATTTAATTTTTTTTCAATTAGGCTACATAACTCAAGGCAGAAAATAAGCACTGATGTCGCTTCACCTCCCCTTCTTGATCTTTTAAGTGCAACCAAGCACACGTCTTCAAACAGAGAGAATTAACAGGGGATCTCGTAAGGATGACAAAGCCCTGGTTTTACGTCAGGCTAGCATTTTACAAGGCATCCCTAGTGTCAAAAGTCAGTTATAGATAGATGCTCGCAAGACCTGATTTTTGAACTGTGTAATAAAATGTAAAAAAAAAAAAGCAGAACCTTAATAGTACGGTAACACAATAGACCTTCTCCCGATACATGTAGACTGTAAAACTCGGGATGATCTTCATGTAAAAAACAACAGGCTACATGAAAATGTGTTATCCCATCCCATTCCTCTGTGTGCCCAAATACAAAGAAACGCCTCAATAGATGTAAATCTGAGAGGTTTCTTTCCAATTCTTTTGGACAAAGTACACCTGTCTGACTGTTTTCCGTTCGTTTAAAAACAAGAGGTAGTGAGAAGAGAAAAAAAAAAAAAAGGCAATCCAAAGTGGCAGGCAATGATATCATCTTTGGAGATAAGGCACTTGCTTTCCTAACAAACCTACTGCAACAGAACCACTTGGCTCTGGTTTTCCCCTTCCGTGGTCCTGTACTCTCTGTACTATAAGAGTCTTTCCAACACATTCTCATTCCCTCAGTAAAACATTTCAGGCTCCATCAATTACCTTGGCAAAAAGTGACCCACTTCATCTAAAGCATGTTTAAACACATGGAAAATAGCTGGTTGTTTTCGAAAAATCCGTAATTCTTCAAAATGTATTTGCATGTCGGCACGTTGAGATTCGCTCTTTTTTTCCCCTTGCAAACAAGACTTTTTAAAGCATAAAATGTGTCCATGTTAGTTCGGTCTAGCATTGTTTGAATGTCTGGGTTTTTTTTGTGTTTTTTTTCCTGGGTGGTTGAGCTGGTCGAGGAGAGATTGTGTCACGCTTTATTTCGGGCTTTTCCAAAAACCTCCCTGAGGAGCCGTTAGTCTTTAACAAGTCTGTAGACGTGATACTGAGCTCCGTGTTCACTTGTGGAAACCTCAAAAACAAATGCTATACAGAGCAAGGTCTCCTGGGTGTCGCGGTTCGTCACCACCTGAGGGGCAGAGGGAAATTGTCAAGTGAGAAACATGAAGCAGCGCTGTCAGTTTAGAAATACTGCAGTGAAAAACTGTTAATGTATTCTTAATTTGTCAAAGGAATATTTTGACATTTTAAGAAATGCTGTTATTGGCATTTTTTTTTGCGGAAAGTCAGATGAGAAGATTGATACCAATCTCACATCTGTGCCCTAAATGTGAAGCTAATGCCAGCAGCCGATTAGCTTAGCTTAGCATAAAGACTGGAAACAGCTAGCCCTGTTAGAAGGTATCAAAATCCTCCTACTACCACATCTAAAGCTCACTAATTAACACAATATACTTTGTTTAATACATACTAAAACCAGTGTAAAAACGACTAATGTTGTAATTTTAAGGAGTATTATGAGCCGAGCTAGCTGTTTCCCCGTTTTCAGTCTTTGTGCTAAGCTAGGCTACACTATGCAGCTGCCGGGCTGGAGCTTCTTATTGACCGTACAGATTTGAGAATGGTATCGATCGTCTCATCCAACTCTCGGCAAGCAAGCGCATGTTACATATATTTCCACAAACGTCAAACTGTTCCTTCGACAATCCGATAAAACCGAGTGTGTGTTACCTGTAGGATAGTGAAGTTTTCAAGAACACTGTTCATCATGTATTTTTCAGGCAAGTGTTTGAGTTTGTGGATAAAGTTGATCATGTACTCGCACATAGGAGAGCGGTGGATCCTGTAAACACACCTTCCTCCCTCCAGGCGGGCGTATTCTGTCTGTAATACACACACACACACACAGTCAAAAAAAACCCAAGTAGTGAAAGTGAGAGGCCGTATATCAGTTGTTTGAGAGAAGAATACAGAATCGATTGCAAGCTCTTACCTCTACTTTCTCGACAACCTGCTTGCCAAACGAGCAGACTTTGGTTGAAACGGTGATCGTCATGTTCTCGAGGCTGCTGTATTGGCTGCTGACTCCGTAGAAAGAACCGGGGCCGTCCTGCATGCCGCTGCTGTTCAGGTCGGCCTGCAGAGGGGAAACATTTAGTCAGATTGGTGGTGACGATCACATACTTGGATGCAACTTAAATTTCCTCGTGGCACATGGATTGTGGGGTTGCAAGAAAACATTTTAAGGTCTTTTAATGGTGCTTTGTTTTCTGTGCAACGACTAGGTTTTTAGGCGAAAACATGTGTGTAGAGACGGTTTCCTAATATAAAGCGAAATGTACATGATGAAGCAATCCATTGTGGAATGCCTTCTGTATCTGTTTAATCTTGAGATAACATATTTCACTTTGATAAGAAAACCAACTCTGTGTCATAAGAAAAGGAAGTAGTTTGCATACTGTGGTTCTGCAATGGTCTTAATTTTTGGTACAAAATGTTCATGTATTCTACCTTCCAGCAACACTTTAAAAACTATTTTCACAGTCAGTCATGTGATTTTAAAGATAACTGATTAAACCTCCATCGGTTGGCATTGTTATTGCCTCCCATTATGCTCAAAGGTTGCACATAAAGACGTCACACTTTTTCATATTGGGGTCATGTTAGGCATAAACCAGACAAAGTGATATACAAATGCACAATAACAACTGATAACTGATAGATGATATTACATAAATAACAACCCACCCAGAATTTAACTAGGAAGAAAGCATTCTGAGGGCCTTTCTCATAAAGCTCCTTGAGCCCGCCCTTCTTCTCAGGGAACTTGTCGTAGATCTGCCGGATGTCCACAGCCTCGAGGAGCGGGTCGCTGTACGAGGGGTTGGTCTGTCCAATGTGGACAAACAGGTGTTTGCTGTACTGCGGTGGACAGAGACAAAAGAAGGAAGGACGTGGTTAACCTCAAGAACATCAGCTGCAGAGCTTATGACACTGTTCACTTTTGAGAATAAGGAAAGAGAAGAGAGTATTGCATTACGTTTGTTGTACATTAGGTATCAGATAGTTTTACTCCATCAGGACACTCCAGACGGGGTAAGAGATGCTTTTGCATCTCTTTTGGTGACATTATGCAGTTGAATCAGAGCTCTAAGCTGCTCTCCTGCTGGTTCAAAACCTGCTCCTGGACTTTAGTATTTAGTTCGTGCCACAGTAGATCCACACCGACAGTCCTCTACACACACATTATGCTAAATACAACAACGTTCACTATGGAATATTACAGGACACATTCAAACGAAGATGCTGAGATGCTGGTTCTACTTTCTTAAAGCATAGATGCTATTACTGATTGTGACTTTTACTGTATTTTCATAAAATGCTACTATGGCTTCAGAATGTTGTGCCGCTGCAATATGAAGGGAGACAAATACACAAATATTGGATTGGATTTGATTGGCACATGCCAGTAATAGTAAAAGTGTCTATTTGAATAGTCACACTGCAGCCATTTGGCTATTTACACCTGGCCAAGTTAAATTGGCTATTTTAATTGGCAATAGTAAGCTGGAGGGCAGAAAGATTTTGGAGTAGTAGTAATAGCAATACAAAGAGCATAAAGTATGTGTAGGGAATATATGTGTGCTGGATGAATGGGTCATACTCAAGACTTACATCTGTGAGACGGATTCAAGAGCTGTGAGAACGCTAAGCTGACTCATTGTTTTCAAAACTTGATCAGGACACGCCTGCTTTTAAATGACCTCTATGACTTTCTGAAAGGAAATCTTCACTCGATAAGAGGCTCTGGCCCAGGGGCCCCCTGACCCCTCCTGGACCTAAGACTGGTCGGCCCTTTCAGTAATCCATCCGTGTCTGTATGCGGGAAGCCCTGTTGTACATTTTGACTCACATTGTCTGGGTCTCTCTGGACCTCCATGAAGGCCGAGTACTCCAGCATCCGCAGCTTAGAGGAGGCGATGGTCCGGTCCTGCCACACCGGCACAGCAGTAGCAGATGGAGGAGGAGGAGGTGCCAAGGGCTCATAACCTGGATGGCACACACATACACACACACACGCAAACACAAACAAGCATTTATAAAAATAATTTCTGGTTTTCATTTTTGGAAACATTCTCCCAGGTTTTCATTTGATACTTACTTGGTATGGATTGTGGTATAGGACCCGGGTACGGGGGCTGTGCAAAAGGTTTGATACTGAAAGACAACGAATGGTTCAGTGAGACAATGAGCTCTACTTTACACAGGTGTTCATGGCACATGGGTCCTTCTATATTTGTATTTCTGATAAATATTGTGAATAACTGTTAGTGCCAAAGCGTACGCATGTGCTTTTGCACCAGCTAGGCGTAAGTCCACCTGCTTCAATGCTTCTTAAAGATGCTAAATAGCATCAATGAAGTGTGCGTTTACTGACAAATCTAAGAATAACAAATATTTAGGTTTTAGTGCTTTTTCAGTGAACTCAAGACATCAAACACTAGGAGGATTTATCTCCCCTATGTTTTTTTTCCTCAATCAAATTTGAAACAGTTTGTTTGCCTGGTGGTGTTTTTTTTTTTTTGTTTTTTTTGGAATCAGTGCAGGAAACATATAGTACAATGCAGTGTGCAAAAAGAGTTAGTTCTGCTTTGTGCTCACAGCTGGACCTTGGCTAGGGTGAACTTACGCATGGCTGGTGCGGCCAAGCCCAGGAGTCCTTCCCGGGTTGAGATCTAGAATGAGCCTGGTGTGCAAAAACGTGATCCGTTAAACATGCCCTGCAATACCCACCTGATGTCAAAGCAAGGCCGCGCGCTGACTCAGCCACTCTTTAGGTACGCTTTACTCATCTCTAGCACATATCTCTGTCGTCGGGTATCTAAATAAGCCCTGATGTCACCCAACAACCATCTTGTGGGTTCAGTAGAAAGGGTTTACTTACTCCTGAGAGGGTCCAGGCTGTCCTGGGAGAGAAGGCCAGAACTGGAGAGCAAGAAAACATTGTTAATTGTCTTTGTAGGATTTATTTGTTGTAGTTTGTTCTCTGGGTAAAATCCGATGCAATTTTTATGACTTGAACGAAATGTTTTGTATGTGTGAGAAAATGAGTGGTGGGCTAACTCTGGGTGGTTGGTAGTGGGCAGGAGGCAGTGGTGGAAGGTGATTCTTTATCATACTCGGGGAGACGATCTGTGCAGACGACAGCGCTGCCATGTTCTGCAGGGCTTTGTCCTTAGACGCCTGATCCTACAGGATGAAAGAGGAACAACGAGAGTCAGCCAAAAGGTGGCCCTGTGACCTAAACATGATCTACTGTTGAGTTTGAGAGTTGTGTACGGACTGCCACACTACACTGTATCTATTTGTATCCGTTTGATTAATAACTAAAACATCTAGATTCTGAAAGGAATATATGTTTAACAATCTTGAGGAGAGCGTTTCAGGGTTTTCTGATTAACTTCACAAACTTGGGTTTAGCTTAACAATCAATTAAAACACTTATTCCAATTATTCTCAAAAACTTAATAAAGCACTTCTTTTTTTTTTTTTGAAAGAGCAGCTTGACAGGATGAAGCAAAGGGTAGAACGGAGAAGATCAAGCCGCACTGGTATTTAAGCTCGGGTCACGAGACTAATTGGCTGTCATTATGTTACCAGGATCACCACAGGAAAAATGAGAATAAAGAGAGTGCGTTGGTTGGAAATGCAGATTTGCATTTGCGTTGCATCGAAAGGTGTACATCAACAAATTAAGTTACTCCTACGCAGATGAAAGCGGCACAATGTTGGTGAAACACAAAGCAAAAGATATACAAAGCCAACAAATTCCTATCCGTGGTGCATGACACATATTTCATGATTTACGAAAACATTTAAAGTTTTAATTTTAATACACCAAACTATTTTTCATATTTGCAAAAAAAAAAAAATGCACTTCGGCTAATTCTGCTATGACTTTGCAATTAAAGGACAAATGTCTCAGAAGCGAGAACCACAAATCAAAGAGCGACACCTTAATGCAAAGCAAGCAAGACTTTGGCTTTCCGGGTAGAGACTGAGGGGATTACACTACATCAGACAGGATGAGCATCAGTATTGTGTGTTCAAAGCGTGGCTGTTTCCTAACTAAGCATTGCTTACAGGGTAGTAATGGGGCGGGGACGCCATGCCAGCAGAGGGCCATAGCAAGGGGACAGTGCACTGGTGCTGCCAAACAAAGCGGAGGAGGGAAGCATATTGCACAAGTCAGATCCACTTACCAAATTCATCGCCTGAATCAAAAAAGAGAGAAACCATTAGTACGGTGCAGTTTCTAAATGATGTGTTAAGATGAGTTAATTAAGTTTTGGTCGACATAAAATTGCCTCTTTTGTTTTTACACTCTAGGCAATAGCATACGTTTGTTTAGCGGTCACAAGGTTCAGTAGGGACTAAGGTATTTGAAGAACGGTTCAATACAGAATTATCACGGCATTTTTTAACCATATTAATAATATTGGGTAAAACATATTTGCCAAAACATTTGCAATACATTGGGTTTCCAACAATACACATTCATTCAAGCAATCATCATCAAATCATGTATGACGACTACAAAAGCAAAGTGTAAGGTTGTGTGTTTTTTGTGTGGATATTCTTTCAGTAAGTTCCACATTAAAAGTATGCACTGTATAACTGGGGAGCACATTGCTTCATAACACTGGACATTTCCCCCAATAGAAGACCAACAGAGGAAACAAGATAAAAAAAAGTGAAACCCTTGGAGGTTCATTGCAGCACAAGCCTTCAGTGCGTTACGTCAAATGTACCACAGTGTGCACCCATTTTAGCCGTCACATGTTTACTTCCTGTTCAGCTGATGCTGCAATTTCTCTTTATTCTCAAGCGGAAAGAGTCGCTCTTTGTCAGCCAACTGAACGTAGAAATTTTCTCTTTGGCAAATAAACTACTTTGGCTTGACTTCCTAATGCCTAGATTAATAATTGAACATGGCGTTGGTACTGCATGGACACTTTATTAATTGATATCCGACACTTAAAAGCTACAGGGGGGGAAAAATAAAAGGAACAGCAGCATTGAAGTTCTGCCAATACTATCATCCAACTAAGGTGAACTCAGGAAGCATAGACACAAATGACTGAACTAAATGACATGCTGAGTGAACAGTTGAAACATGTATTTGTGAAAGGGTTCAACATGTATACATGAGCATGAGGTGATTGAAATTATTCATATTCATTTTGACACAAAATGTGTCAAGTCACATATGTCATGTTGTGTGAAGGAGACAAACTGCAGATTGTCGTGTGTGCAAAAAAAGTAAGAAGTGAGGAGAATATGATTCCCCCCTTCCAGCAGAGAGGCTTGAAGTCACCACACAGAATACATGCCTATATAAGACATGAAAAACATAAAAGCTGATTTTACAAAACTGTGTGCCAAACTGCGTGCCAATCAGATGTATGGTTTAGATATGCAGACCCCAACAAAACAACAACATGAAGAAGATGTTTTTGGAAGAAGACATTTAAAAAAATAAAAAGAAAGCAGGGAGGATAATGTGACGGCCTTGCTTTGACAGTCCTGTGACTTCACTGGTGAGGACTTCTAACTTATGAACAGGGGAGGGAAATTATGGCTCACTATTGGGGGTGGGGGAAAATGGATACACCATAGTATATATATATATATATATATATATATATATATATATATATATATATTTCAAGCTAAATTTTCATTATAAAAAAAATCAAAAATCATTACACTGATGCCAAGTATCGATCTTTTATTATGCAAACTATTAATATTGCACATACAGATTTAACCATTTGGTAATAACTGCTTTATCAGTTCACAACATTGCCAGTTTTTCCTGGTGCGGTATTGAAAAAAGGTAATTGCAATGTTTGTTATCGCAATACTCAACATATCACAAAACGTTTAAAAATCGTAATAGGATCGTATTGTGACTTAAGTGTCTTGATGATATCGTAGAGTGAGGCCTCCGGTGATTCCCAGCCCGACTCGCTACAAACTTACACTCTGCATTCAAGATAAGTTTGTCATTTGTGTCACTGGATGAACAAGTTGAGTCTTCCTACTACAAAATAAGTTACTTGTGGATGCTGGTGTCCACTGCAGGATTAGTCTGCATAAAAGGGGTTAATTTAAGTTAAAGTTAGCACTAAAGAAAGCCACATTTTCTGTGGTATTCACACAAGTCTGCATTATGTTACTGTTATTCTTTTTAAAAGCATGAAGACAGAACAGAGGGATTGAAAGAACTACAAGACAGAATCAAAAGGTGTCATCTGATGCAGATTAATGTGTTTCTTTTTCCTTTTTTTGTGAATGTTCAGTTTCATAAAACACATCACAAACAGACACATTAGAGGAACTAAAAGTATCAAAGTAGAAAAGAGTTTTAGGGAAAGAAGAAGTCTTAGAGAAGTACAGTCTGCTGCAGAGGCATGGCTGGCCCAGAGGACAGATACAGAGCTGGAGCAACATGCAGCTGAATGATCACTGGGCTCCTCATAACAGCTTGTGTGGCATTCCCTTAAAGCAGCTACTATACTGTCACTACGGAGTGGTGAGACTAGTCTTACGGTTTATGCAACTCTAGTGGTTAAAATGCTCTCTGTTTGGTGCGCTGCATGCATGCTACAGAAGCAGGACTGTGGGTGTGTCAGCGGATTAACTCCTCAACAATGTTTATATTATCTGATTTATCCCTAAACAGTGTGTGTGTCACTTGCCAAGCCCGCATCCACTTATCTAGCAGGAACCGGCCTCAAAGCGAGGACTGATAATGATATGCAGAAATAAGGTGGTTAGTGCAAAAGCCAAGCCTTTGCCAGCCCCGCCGAGCCCGCGGTGAAGCGCATACCTTTAGCTTTGACTGGATCTCGCGAGATTTTCTCCGGGCGAGAACCTGCAAGTGGCTAGAAACCTGCACAGAAGAATAGCCAAGAGGAGGGAAGAGGCAAAGGTGGCATGGAGAGGAATAGACAAGGGAAGAAAGAGAGAGAAGCCGTAACCAAAGAGGAAAGAGACGCCCAGCCAGTGTTGCCGGGAGGCAGGTTGGTTGCACCTACCTTTATACCCGCCTGGTATTCACGAATTTTCTTCCTTGCTAACACCTGTATGTGACTAGAAACCTAAAGGGGTGTGAAACAGTTTTTAAGCATAAAAACAACATGCACTCACAGATGCATGCACACACACACATGCAATACACGTGCAGACACACACACACACATACTAACAGAGATAACACACACTGTGAGAGCTCTTAAAAGTTCATGCAAACAATAAAAGAAAATGAGGCTGGCCATATTCTATACTATTCTTATTAGCAATAAATCCCATGAAACGACCTAAACCACCAATGAACGGACCTGTACTGTAGCCTGAAATATCTTATTATTATTATATTATTAGAGGCCTCCATTGTTGACAAAAAAACACATGAATGAGCCTCACTGTTACAATGGGTGATATGTTTTGTCATTATTATAAACATTAGCCCTTCAGTTTATTGTGAGTCAATCCCACATACACCAACCTGCTGCTATAAATAATCCAGAGGGGAATTCTTGCTAAAAAATTACAAAATAAAAGTTGTGTATTAATCCACAGCTGAAAATAGTCCCTAATAAATGCACTATATGTGCTAAAAACTACAGTAACAGCTGACAGGATACTGTGATGATGCCACAGGGTGGCTAGCTAAGCTGCTAGCTATTGAAAGAGGAACTATCACAGTGTTGGTTTTGGTCTTTTTTTCATGGGATTTGTTGACAATAAGAAATATACATATATAATAAAACCAGACTTATCATTTAAATAACTAGTAATCTACTTTTATTTGAAATTAGGCATGACATCAGGAAATACAAATCCTTAATAAAATTGGTTATTAAGTTATTGCTGGTATTAATGGCTTTCGCCCATCTGGTGGTGTATCTGTTATGTCTTGTACTGTCAGTAACTAAAACCAAACTCATGCATGATTATTCTGATCCAATCATCAAATCTCGTTCACCTGTTTTCTTGTGCGGGTTTTGCCCGTCCTCAGCTTGATGTACCTTGCTATCAATTCATTGCGACCTGTAAGACAAAACGAAAAAAAGAAAGAAAGGTCACAAACAACAATAAGAATACACAACAGAGGATTTCACATTTGTACATATGTGATAATACCCTGAAATGGCCAGAAGGTGGCACTCTTGCCATACGTTGCATACGCCTCTCTCAGCAGCGTGACCTTTCCCAGAGCTCCTCAGACCCCAAGGCAAACACACTTTTGTCACAGGTCACAGGCCATAATAACACCTCCGTTTCCTACAGGAGACCGTATTTAAAATTCTCCTTCTTCTTTGAAATAAGGCCGCTATTAAAAGCTTGATTTTCTTGCTTTACCCCAAAGTTTTCATTAGCTCGTTTAACACCTACTTATTGTCTGCTCACGGGGCCCTGAAGCCTAATAATAGAGAGTCGCTTAGAAAACAGAACCGTGTTTTTCATGACATAACATCTACTCTCGACATTCTGCACAAACAGGTTGTGCAGGGAACAGGCTACTTCTATTCAGGGCTTTCAAACGGCCTCCCTTTACATTGAGCGCCGTCATCTTCAGGTTAAAAGAAGTGCAAAATGCATTACTATGTTGTCTCCCAGGCAAATCAGTACATCAGTCTTTTTCATTTCTCGTCTTTGCCAAGTCACGTTTACTGGGTTTCTGTGGTTTCAAAATTGGGCCAAAGGGAGAGGTTGAACCGCGGCATCATTACGAATAATGACCGAAGCTCTGCTAAACTTGCTGACAGAAATTTTTAACCGACAAAAACTGGTCAAGATATGCCTTCTTGAGCACACACAATAGACTGTATGTCTAGGAAGTTTTAACGGCCTTTAGAGTATCCAGGCACATAATGACAGGAGAAACAAGTCCTGTTTTTTCACACACTCTTTAGCACTTGGCCTCCAGAAGGCCCTGGTTAGTGCAATTACCATAAATGTACTGCAGACCATCTCCAGCAGGCTTGCAGCGCTCACCGTACTCTCAAAGCGGTCGACCCGGCGGTCGGCCAGCAGAGCAGAGCTGAACTGTCTGCCGATACTGAGCTAGCCCGTCCCCCCCCTTCTGCCCCAGGCCAAGGATGGACACGCCCGCTCCAGCGCCTCCGCATTCCTAGCATTCCTCTAAGCCTGTCACATCTGTGCTAGCCAGTCTGATTGGCCTGGGCCTGCGAACACAGCCAGAGCCTGGGCGAACACACACAAGCACTTCCAGCTCTGGGAGAAGCATGGGGTTAGAGCCGGGGTGAGGGCCATTAAGGTTGGGGTAGGGGGTCGTCGGTTAGAGGGGGCAAAGGGGGCAGCTGATGCTGTAACTCTTGAGGAAACACGAAGCCATAACTGTCTCTGCCAACAACTGCCACCTGGCAGCAAAGCAGCCCCCCTCTCCCAAAACACCACCGTGTGACCCTGCACTCAACGGACAGCAGCACCTGCTGCCGGCCATCCCAGCAGAGGATGGCAGAGAAAGAACAATGCCAGTTCGACCCCCGCGCAACTGTCACTCTCAATCTCTTCAGCTGGGGAGCAGAGTGGGGGGGGAACATTACATCGTCCCGACCACAGAGTTCTGCTGCGGATTTCACAGATATCTCGTTGCTAAGTACTGTAGCATGAAGTCCAGTTTAAGTGAGAAAGAAATAGATAAGAACTTCTCTGGTGAGGTGGTCTCGGTGTTGTTGGTCAAACTATAAATTCACAGCAGACCTTCAGGACTCCCCACAATGAGGTTCAGTAAACCCAAACTAAATCTCTCCTCCACAATATTATGGAAATATATATTTTTTAAAGCAGACCATACACATTTTTTTGTGACTTGATTTATAACAGAAAATACATTGTGTGGTATATCAAACATGTCATCTGTTAAACAGTGCAGTCCTGTGGTTGCGAGCTGAGATGATATCTCCACTTTTTCTCCAAATCTGGTTGGTTTCGTGATATTTCAAATTGCAGCTTTTGTTTTATGCGACATACTGTTTCCTGCAGAGACGCCACTTTGAAGTGGCTTGGACAAATAACTCCAGCGTTTGATTTCAAAGTTTCAAAGAAACGTTTTGAAACAGTCTAATGTTAAAATGAATTGGAAATGGGATCCGTAAGACACATTCTCAGGCACTACTTCTTCTGCTTTGTGGAAGAACACAAACTGGATCATGACACCGTTGTAACACAGCCTTGATTTTTAACTGTTCAACTGTTACATCCCTAAACGTGCTTATTTACAAAAAATGAGAGCTGGCCAAAGGATTTTAGAAACACTGAGGTAATCGCTCCCAAATGCCTCATCCTCCACTTCACACCGTAGCATAAAAATCACATTTTGAGGGGAAACAATCACTCAAGAGAACGTGTTCAACCCCACTCTTAACAAAAACAACTGCTGAACAGAGCTCATTCAACAGGCTCTGGATCAGTAAAATCAGGAGTTGATGCCTGCAAACCTGTTGCTGGATGTGATTCACTCACTTTAAAAAGATAAAATCACCACCTGACATAGAATATGTATTAAAAAAGTCAGGTCTTAAAAGCAGCAGCCGCATTGGTGTGTGCACATGCACATTTTTACGTCCCGTTTTCTGGGTGAACAGGG